TACTTCTAAGAGAGGGGTATGAGGAATATTTTTAAGAAGTACAATGTCCAAAACTTCGCCGTTTCCGTTAGCACCAAATCTTGTTGGAGAAGTGGGAGCAGCAAAATTGAGGTCGTTGCTAATTAAATAGTTATGTAAAATGTTTCCATTGCTATTAGATCCTCTAGAATTCCAAGCATTATGCTTTGCATTCAAGTCCCCTGCGATGATAGTCGGGAAGTTGGTGGAGGTTAAGATATCCAGGTCATTATTAGTCATCAGATTATTAGGAGGATTGTAAATAGAAATAAATAGGTAGGCTTCATTTAAAGCAGTATAAATGATAGCTGAAGTAAATTCGAGCAGACTATTGTGAGGAAGATCATATTCAGTATGCTTTAAGTGATTTTTAATGATAATTGCAGTACCACCCCATCTACTTCGGGTTCTGTCTTTCCTTATAATATTGTAGCCGTTTATTTTAAATTTATCGCAAGCTTTAAGGTGAGTTTCACCTATCATCATGACATCAATGTTGTACTTATCCAAGTAATCTTTAATTTCTTGATATTGTTTTATGACACCGTTCGCATTGAAATAGGAAATTTTTAAGAAGCTATTGGTAGCTGAAATCATCGCGTTTATATTGCTATGAGGTCTAAAAGTCATAGTCTAAAGAAGTGAAATATTCAATTGCGGCCATTCCGACCTCGAGTTTACCCATGATGTTTTTTGCTTTTTTAAATTCTGTAAAGAATTCTTTCGCTTTTAGGAGTTGGGTTTTTATCCACTCAAAAAATGAAACTTCTTTAGCTTCGCTTTCTTGTTTATTTTTGTTTTCCTTTTGAGTTGTCCAGCTTGGTTGATTTTTTTTTTAGTTTCGTTTTCGTTTCCGTAGCTCCAGGGAGAGTAGGAAAATCTTCTTTATTTAATTGAAATTGTTTCTGTTCATGCTTTTTCTCGTTTTGATTGCTCTTATTGAAGACTCTTTTGGGTAGGTTATCCGGATGGTATTTACATTCCTTCGAGTTGCTCGGGTGGCAATCGCCGCACAGAACGCAGAGCGCTGGTAGTTTGTCCTTGTTCTTCTTACAGGTGTAAGTTTCGTGCGGTTCGGCGCATTTAAGACACCTAGGTTTGTAATGACATAGATCTCGAGTGTGTCCGTATCTCTGGCACCTGTGGCATTGCACAGGGCCAGGTCTGGATTTGTAAGCACGGACTATGACGTCTAATCCACGAAGTTGCTTTATTTGGTAGATTTGTTTACCCTTTTCGTTTCTTTTGACCTCGACTAAGAATATAGGTAGTTTAACAATTTTTCCTTCTCGGAATCTTTCGAGCTGACGTATCTTTTCTACAGGAATTCCGTGTTCAGTGAGTTCTTTGTGAATTATTTCCACGTTTGAGTTTCTAGGCAGTTTCTTAATTACTACTTTGATTGGTTTTTCGGAATTAATTTTGTATGTGTGGAATTGCACACCTCGTTTGGCCAGAAACTCCGTGATTGCGCGATAGTCATCTTTATCCCAGACTTTGATGTTGAGTGAGTGTATCTCCTGTGAGATTGCCTTTGACTTTTTTTACTCCTAAATTTTCGATTTCCTCTTTTAACGTATCCCAGTTGGCTGTAAAATCTGAGAGAACAATTGGGGGAATATGTCCAGTGCTTTTTTTGGCGAGAGTAAATCCTGCGGACTCTGAGTTCGATTCCTGCTCCATGCGGTCATCGTCCTGTAGGTCATTGAACTTATTTTTCTGTACGGGTAGTTCAGCTTCCGATGAATTTGAATGCGTTCGTTTATGCGTGATGCGGGGGGTTTTAAACCCGTCGCTGTCAGTAGTAATTTTCTTTTTCTTATTCTTAGATATAGTCGAACGCTCTATATTTTTTGCATCGCTTTTTTGTGTTTATTAGATGCTTTTGCCTTTAACATAGCATCGCTTTCGTTGTTATTTTCCATAATGGAATTGTTTGTTTGATTTTTATGCATGACGGCCAGATTTAAGAATGCGTCGTAATCTTGAATGATGCGTTCAAGTTCCGCTATACGTTTGAGATCATCGCTAGTTTTGTTTTCAACTGAGTTGAGTTTAAGGAGATCAGCAATAGCTTGCTTTTTTTAGAGTTGTGTAAGAGTTAACATTGGGTGGGAGATTAGTCTCTCTAAGTGTATATTAATTCTACCGAAGGCTTGTTCGGCGGCTGAGATTTCATTATCTAAATTTGCGGATGGCTGACACTCACTCATATTTCACCGAGGTAAAGCATAGCGAGGGAATCAAAAAGCAAAAATATCTTACCTAAATCCAGAGCAGCAGCTTCGGTGAAATACCGGAAGGCGTACTCCAAAGAAAAGCAAAAATATCCAAATGGATGCACAGACGATGCGTTGAAAAACCCGATCTGGACGTGATTGAAAAGGCAACCAGCTCAAAGCAAATTCCAACTCAGAATGTGTACCAGAGAGAAACTATGCTATTATTAACTATTTATACAAAATAAGTGCACAAAGTACAGCTAAACTGTGATTGGTTAAATTTTGAGCTTCAGTTCCATTTACATTATCAGAGTTAGACTTTTCTGGAAATGACGTAGTACAAAAAGAGGTTACTGTTTTTAGAATTGAGAAAGGAAATTTATGTTGCTAATTTAATCTTTTGCATATTCTTTATTTTTCTTACATATCCCCCCTTCAAAAGAAAGGTTGGGACAGAAGGGTGGAAGAAAAAGACAGCTGTGTAAGGAAAACAGATAGCTGTATAGAGAAAGAGAACAGCACAACAAAAATAGGTACTCTGAATATTATTGTAACCGCCTTAGTTGAAATCGCCAAACTGCCAGATTCATGCACATAACAATTCTTTAGGTAACTATATCGGTGACTGTAAAATCTGAATAATCAACATTGCCATTTTTGTGCATGCTGTTTTGGTTGTATTACAAGCTCTAATGGAAAATTGCGATGTTTTTGGTCTTCAGCTAAATTTGGAAATATGCACCTGCAAACGCCTGTGAAGTTTTTGCTGGACTATAGTATTTTGCCATAAAGGCAGGAATATTCAAATTTGCATTTTGAAAAACAATCCTTTTAGAAATGTGGCATGAAAAAGTATATTGAGCGCGTCCGCATTTGAAGCGGTAATTGGTTCGTGGATAATTGTCTGCCATTTACTACAGCAGTCAGTTTTATATATTGCTGGTGTAAAGAATTAAGTGTTACATTTTGCTTGGTAAAATTAAAAAAGGTCCTTTAAGACTAAGGTAGACTGTAATAATTAAAAGCGTGAGATACCATTTGTAAGAAGTTTTATCAATTGTTTTCCCAGATAAATATCAAACTAAAATTAAAATGTATACTTAATAACACATATGATATAAAATAACTTAAGAAAGTTATTTCAAATCGAAGACGATTTAAAATTATTCTTTTTCTTAAAAAAAAAATCATCAAATTGTGCGAAGGTGATTGAGATAATGCCAAATCTACTACTACTTATGATCGCCCTCGCGGAATCTCGAAAGCCGTTTGCAACAATAACAATACTGTACCGCGACCATTTATTTAAAAATAAATTATTATCATTCTTTTCCTTCTTAAAAAATCACCAAATTGTGACAAGGTGGTTGTGATAATATCGCAGTACCAAAAAATACAAAAGGTTTTCTCAAAAAAGGTAATGGTTTTATTATTTTAATGAACAAAAATAAATAAATAAATAAATAATAATAATAATAATGTTACCAGATGCATTACCAAAATGGATATAAAAATACTCAAAAAAAAAGTTTCCCTCCAAAAGTAGTCAACAAGTTCACAAACGCTCTCTAAATTCTCCAACAAGTTTGTGCCTTTTTGGTGGAGGTTTGGATAATTAGAAAATACTGCAATTCTTAATTGTTATAAGCAGTTTTATTTTGGAAAATAACAAGATAGAGAAAAATTTTTAAAAATTCAAATTTTACAGTTTTTAAGAAAAATACAAGTTACTATTGTTACCTATTTCCTTAGGTTATTAAGAATAGTAATATTGATTTAATTCATAAGTTCAATGCATAGATTTGTTTTAAATCTCAATGCACAGTTTTTTTAAAGTCCTTCTCACCAATCTAAACACAACTAAAAATTTTGGTAATATCCTAGTATACGGTGCAGTTTTGGCACGATGTTGAAAATTATCGCCAACACCAAAAGTAATCCAAAGAACGTCTATGTATATAGACTATACACTATATACTATGTGTATATACATAGTATATGTATATACACACATAGTAGTACACATACACATAGTGTATATACATAGTATATACACTATATACATAGTATATACTATGTATAACTATATATATTCTTTGAATGACCCGTTTACTACTCATCGTATATGTCGCGGTTTTTTACTGCTCATCATAAAGTCGCCAGAAGTAGCCAAATCCGTGTGCACCGGATACTAGGATTAAACCAAAATTTTTTCTTTTAAGAATTTACATCTTTTTGTTTTAAATCTCAATGCACAGATTTTTTTAAAGTACTTCTCACCAATCTAAACACAACTAAAAATATTTTCTTTTTAAGAATATACATCTTTTCTACAGTAATTTATAATTTTATTCATTTACTTTCATAAATATACGAAATTAAACTTCTGAATGTATAGGAAAAAAAAATCATTTGGCCGAATAAAAGTTAAAATGCAATTATAATAATTAAGATGCATTAAGCAAATTTCATTACTATTATTATTATTATTATTATTATAAAAAAATTTGAACATTTGTTTTAATTTTATGCTTCGTAAAAGTACCTAAAATCTTGTTTTAGATTTCCTTGGGACCATCAAACTGATTTAATTATAAGATTTCTTTAATATAGGCGCAAATTCATATTAACAACTACATTTTTAATTCATAGAAATAACATTGTATCCAACTACTTTGTCCTGTTTCTCAGACAAAACAATTTTAATATATTAAAAAAATCCTTAAATATTTTTTAAAAAAAAGTCAAATTTTCATTTACCTAAAGTTAAAGGCACTTTTTTCGTATCGTCATTATGCGATTCAATGGACGAGTTAACTGGTCCTTCGTGTACTTCGACGGATACATCTCCTTTACATGCAACTCCAAAAGGTGCAGACACATTTCCAATAGCCCTTGCTGTTAACATAAAATTTAATAATAAACATAAAGAAAAAAACAAAAGAAAATCAGAAAAATAAAACCTTTACTTTACCATTCAGCAAAAGAGGGCCTCTGATATATAGAAATGCGTATTTACTAAAACTAGAAAAAGCCATTTAAACTTTAAATATATTTTTTCTAATGGTTATTTCCTACAAAATGAAAATTTAATTCAATATATTTGTCATTTCATATTTCGCAGAATTCTACATTTAATAGTCCTGCATTTCGACAGCCATATGTTGTTTTGCACTAGCACAGTCTTTTGGCTAGACAGCTATTTGTTTACAGCTTTTGCACTCGTACGTTCATAGACAAAATTTGAATCTGTTTCTTATAATTTGTCTAATTTATGGGTGAATATTTTATAATAGAAAAGCAATGGTGAAAAGGAATTCATGCGTAATCAGATTATGTTTCTAAATAAAGTTATTCTTCAACACGAAATTTAAAACATTTAAGTCTGTTTCTATTTTTGGAGTAGATATCGGAGATTGCGTTAGTCATTCAAGGAATGGCAATAAATCTAAGATCCCGTGTTTTGTTTATAAACAAAAAAAAGAAAATAAGGTAAGAAATGCCGGACTATCCAAAAATTGTTATATTTGATTAACTGTACGTGATATAGAAAAATTTTTGTTGCATTCGAAATCGCAATAATTTGTCTGTATCGTCAAATTTTTGTGTCAATACTGTGTTTACTATCATTTTTTTTTTTTTTTTTATGTGTGAAAGCAAAAATTTTATTTTTTAATATGAGATGTCAGTGTGTATCACATCCATTGGTATTTAAAACTTTAAAAAAATTTTTTTAGTATTTTAAAATTCTTTTCGGAATTAAAATGAAACTTGAAAAGTTAGAGATAGTCATTTACTAGTCCTTTTTTTATTGGGAAACCTTCTTTTTATTGGAAAACAATGAGGAATTTTTAAGCCAAGGTCAGATACGCTTTGTATTATATAATCATCAGCTATAAGAAATTATATGTTTTAGTTCGCATAAATTTAAGCAAATTAGTTAAAGTCAGTGTCAAGTTATTAAGATAAAGTAATAAAACTTTCATAACATTCAGTTCTTGAATTCAATTAATAATTAATTTTATTCTGCAGAATTATTATATGCAATGTCTCATAAATTATATACAGTGTCTCACAAAATATGAGATACTTGAGAGTTACTAAAATACTGTCAAAAATTGCAAATATGTTAGATTTAAATTATAAAATATGGTATCCTTAGAAGTCTATATGTACTCATCGTTCTTTTTAAGTGAATGTTCTTTTTCAAAAATAAAATATAGTGTCTGAAAATTAATATTTTCCTTTTAGGTTGGTAAATCAAGCCAAAAAAATAGTACCGTGTGTGTGTATAATATATTTTTTAATTTTTGTAATATTGTATTATTATTAATTTATAAAAATGTGGTATAATCATTTTGAAATGGATTTAGTTAGATGTTTTATTATTTCTGCCTAATCTATTTTCACTAATTTTGTGTTACTAATTTTAACTGTTTTTAAAGAACTATTTTGTTTCTGTTTTATATTTCATTTATACCAAACGTGCGTGTTAGTAGTTATATATTTTAACAATATTAAACAGCAGCCAGAGCTACACATTGATAGTGATATGCTCAGGGTCATTGTCTCGAAATACACTTAACAGAATTTGGAATTATTTTGCAGATTAAGGTTTTTTGACAATGATTTCAAATGTCATTTCAAAATATTCAGTACCATAAAAGCCTGATTATCTCGCATCCAACCAATGGGAAGTAACTGGGATATTTTAGAAAACAATTTGGTACTTATGCATTAATGCAACTGCCTTCACAGTTTGTTCATTTTTTACAAATGAAAAGATCAAAATTACCTATATGGTGCAAGTTGGTGGTTTTCATGCCTTTTTCAGAAAGATTCCCTAACTATTGATAGTTATCATATGTCGGTAAACATTAACAACATGAAAAGAAAGTATACTTTACCAATTTAAAATACAAATTTAAATTATTAAAAAAAGGCTTATGTGATACATTAAAAAAATTAAAAACTTATATTCTTCTTCAAATCTATCTGTAATATTTTTGTCTTGTATTTCTCTCAAAATATACAACAATCTGTTTTTACTATAAAAAGCATCAGGAAAATCTGGAGACTCAGCTTCATGCAATCTTAAGGAACAGCAGCTGTCTAGGAAATGCATTATCGTAAAAAATTTTCAGCAAAATTCCGTATTCCTGCAGAAATTTTACCACAGTTTCTTCCATTGCTGACAAATTCCACAAGTTCATATTTTAAAACTAAGCAAAATAATATAACAATTTGCTTATAAAAACTGTTGGAGCTTGGAATGTAACAAAAAGAATACATGCAAAATTGGCAGTATTCTTTGACTCAAGTATTGCTATGAGCGTGGGTGCCAGAAGAATGGTTATGCATATGCTTGTCATAATTTGGTACATTGTCAAAATATGGCGACTTCTATAATTTTGTTGTTTTAATATATAAGTGCTAAACATTTTAACCTGAAAAATTTATTAAATGAGAGATTTGCAGTGCCATTATAGAGCTTGTAATACTATTAACACATATACATTGTCATAAAAAAAATGTGATTTAGTGCCAATAATGGATTAGCATGATGTCCTAACACAATCATGAGAAGTTTCTTCAAGTTTAATGTAAATTCAATTAATTCTTGATAAGCAAGTTTAGTTTTTATTAAGAAGAATATAAATTTTAAGTTTGCCTCACATTTTGGAAAAAAGACATATTTTGGACCGTGTAAAATGCAGTATTTTAAAAGCTAAAGATTCCAAACATTAAAAAAAAAAAAGCCTTGATAAGTGATTTTGAAAATGGATCAATAATGGCAGTGTAATGGGAAAAATGATGAGTGATTTAAATTTTTATATAGTCTATCCATAATTTGTAATTTAAAAAAAAATTTTTTTTTTATTTTTTATTATTATCTAACTAGATAAAGAATGATGAGTTTGTTTAAACTTCTGTTGGAATGATTGGCAACATCTCTGCCAACTTTCATGTTTGATGGGATTTCACAATCAAATCAGGAGTTCTGTTTTAATGTTTAAGGTCTATAAAATGCATGTGCTATGAGATTGAAATGTGTTTTTTTTTCGAAGTCTTTTATAATTTTAAATGCAGACTTTTGATATTCAAATTCATTACAAATAAGATTTTTTTTTTTTTTTTTTTTTTTTTTGTAATTTTAGAGTGAAAATATTCTTTATTGATTTGGCTTTTCTAACACGAATTGCATTTTTTATATGCTTGAGTACCAGAATTTTCATATAGCTGGAATTCGAAATTTCATAAGTTTTCTAGATAATCCTGCTTTTAGAGCACTAATGTATTATCTATTGATTGTGAAACTGTTGCCAAGTAACAAGATTTATAGCCGATTATCGATGAACATGACATACAGTGGTCTGTGACATAATATAATGTGGCCTTCAAATACACTGAAGTGCCACTGAATTAAGGATAGACATGGCTATGCAAATTTTATAACACTGTGCGGCATCTGTGCTCATGTAAAGAGGCTTTGGTAAATGCACATATGATTTATGTAGTTGTGTAGTACTATAGTTGTTGTTAATCAGTCGTTTCAATTACCAGTATGGGTAAAACTTCTGATTTAGACAGCTTCAATCTCAGACATTTGCAAAGGACAATTAACCTAGAACAAACGTGATATGAGAAGGCTCAGCCATATTGTACATAGTCAACGAAGCTAAACGTTATCTCAAATTATCACCCAGCTGAATCAGAGTGGCAGTCGTACAGTCAGTAAAAGGTTCATGCAACGCTCGCTTCACCATATGGGCTTCGGAAGCCGTAGACCCACGAGAGTACCTTTGCTGAATACAGAGAATAGACTCTAGTGGATTTGAAATCAGTAGCAAGGAGTGATGAGTCTCGATTCCGACTAATTAATACCGATGGAAGGCTGAGAATATGGCGTCAGACTCATGAAGCCTGTATGGCAGATTGGAACTGTGCAAGGCCATGGTGCGAATCATAGTCTGAAATGTTTTCTGTTGGCAGTGTTTGGGATCTTTGGTACTTGTACCAACCTCCCTCAGTATGATTCGGTATGTAGAGTTGCTGGGCGATCATCTCCATCCATTTATGTTTTCCTGTCATTCACACGGAAATGGAGTATCCCAGCAAGATAACTACACCTCTCACAGGTCCTAGTTGGCTACTGCCTGGTTGGATGAGCATTCTTTTAACTTCTCTGTCATAAATTGACTACTTAAAAGCCCTGACTTAAATTCTACTGAGCATCTATTGGACATTTTGGAGAAAGGTTCGAAACATCATCACACAACACTAACTACTCATCTTAAATTATAGACAGCTCTATCCAATGTTTGGCAAGCCATTCCCGTAGAATGCTTCCCAGAAACTTATTGAAACTATGCTTTGTCATTTGGCAGCTATTATAAAGGCCAGAGGAGGCCCAACTCGTTATTGACTAGCTCTGTCCCTAATTCAATGGCATTTCAGTGTATGTTTTGGTTAGAGTAGCTTTAAGGGTGCCCCATAAATTATTGCTAGGTTATTGTTTCATTAATCGCCAAGTTGTTTCATTTATGGTAACCTGAGTAGTTGAATGTTATGGAAACCCTATTATGATGTAATTGGTTCCACGATTGCGATGACTTTGAATCATGGGAAAAGGTTTGTAAGGGTGTATGTGTTGGTTAGGAAGTATGTTGGTTATTTTGTGTGTTACATGGTAAAATGATTGAATGTGGTAAGATTAATTAGAAGTTTCTGTACAATTTCGAGTGAAAGGGAAAAAGCATTGGTTAGAGTAGACTGAAGGGTACCCCTTGTCACAAAGTTGTTGTTTCATGTATCGTCTGCTTCTTGTTTCATTTATGGTAACCTGAGTAGTTGAATGTTCCGTAAATATACTTTTACCTAGAATTGGGTGCTCTTTTAACTTTTTAAGTGAAAATACAGGGGTTGGACAAAAATATGGAAACACCTTTAAAAAAACATGTTTCTTTGCTTAATATGGTGTAGGAAACCCATTGGCATTCAAAACAGCTTGCAGTCTTATCGGAATAGATAACTACAGTTCCTGTATGTTTGCCAAGGGAATATTATACCATTCTTCCTGCAAAACGGTGGCAAGTTCAGATAACGATGTTGGGGGTGGATAACGAGAACGCAATTTCCGTTCCAATGTAGACCAAAGGTTCGATAATATTCAGGTCTGGTGACTGTGGTGGCCAGGGGAGATGGGACAACTCATCCTCGTGCTCAGAAAACCAGTCCTGGACAATGTGAGCTGTGTGAACAGGGGCGTCTTGGAAGACACCATCACCATCGGGGAACAAAGTTTGTACCATGGGATGAACTTGATCGGCCAAAATGTTCACATAAGTCTTGGCAGTCATGTGCCCTGACACAGTTATCATGGGGCTAGCAGAGAACCACGATATGGCTGCCCAAAGCATAACAGAACCCCGCCATGTTTCACTCTTGGCAACAAGCAGTCTGTATTATAGGCTTGAGATGGTGTTCTCTAGACGTAAACTCGGCCAGAAGTGGGAAACAATGTGAAAGAAGACTCGTCAGACCATATTACTCACTTCCACTGCTCTATAGTCCAGGTTTATGACTTAAACACCACCTTTTCCTGTTACGGGCATTAGCATCACTGATGAGTGGCTTCTCAATTGCAGCATGGCTAGCCATTCCCTGTTTATGAAGCTCCCTTCTAATTGTTTTGGTACTCACAGGGTTCGGTAACAAAACATTCATTTCAGCAGTAACATTTGCAGCTGTGGTCTTCTTATTTTCCGTCACAATTGCCCTTAATGATCGTCTGTCACGATCACTCGGGACACACTTTCGTCCGCGCTGTGATTTAGCAGATGATGTTTTTCAGCTTTTCAAATATGCGGAATAAATCTTCGATACAGTACCTATTGAAACACTAAACACCTCGGCTACCTTGCTTATGGAAGCACCTACCATACGTGCTCCAACAATTTGCCCACGTTCGAAGTCTGTTAACTCTGACATAATGCAATGACAACCTCACATAACAGTACTCTGACAACAACTGAACTGTTTAGCACATTTACGAAGTTGTATAGGTGGCGTCAGTAGTCAAAAACGCCAGCGCCACCTACATATTTCATTAAAATCAATCTTTCTTTTCAAACATGCATTTCACAAGGTGTTTCCATATTTTTGTCAATCCACTGTATATCGATGTGTACATGGACAGTCAAGGGAGTACGCAATGCCTAGTTTGTGGAATTCTCTGATGCTTTTTCAAGTGAAAATAAATTGCTGTGTTTATGGATACCGAGTTTCTGCAATTCTTTGACTTGTTATTTTGGATTTGTGTAGTGCTACACAAAGCCAAAATAACAAGTCAAAGAATTGCACAAACTCCATGTCCATATATCGCCAAGGGGCACCCATAAATACATTTTTACCATATGTTTTAATATGTATTCGTTCAGGTACAGTGCATATAGGTGTAGAGTCATATAGTTATGATTGAGCTTATGTGTGTCGAAAAGTCTGACACTGTCCTGTTAACCAAGAAAAGAAAAATGGATCCTTCACTATTTGCCTATATGTACGACATCCTTGGTATTGCATTAGATCGCTGCCTCACATGGTCCCCTCACATTACACAGCTCCTTAGCCAAGTTCCAGAGGCGTAAACGTACACTAGCCCCTTTAACTGCTCGGAACTCCGCTCTCTCTATTGACAATAAAATACAGTCAAAAGTCGTTAATCTGGACTCGTCAGGACTTCAGCGACTCCGGATTATCGATTTTTCCGGATTATAGATCATCAGTTTAAATCTCATAAGATGGCATGCAGAAATTCTAAATTTAAAAATATGAAACCATAATTTATGAAATAAAGAACAATTATGATCTAAAGGGTATCAAAATTTACAAAAAGAAAAAGCTTAATTTTTATTTGTTTACTTTATTAAACATTTCCTTCAATGTAAGTTGCTTCGTTTCATGTGATAATACTTTCTCTTTAATTATATTAAACAGACATAATTTCTTGTTTAGTTACAAAGTTCCGCTGTTCAAGTCCTATAATTGCTGTGTTGAGAATACCGACTAATTTGTCAATCGAAATGTTTTCATTTTCAATAACCTCTGGGTCACTTTCTTCATGTCTTTATCCATTTTTTGCAGCAATTCCACTTTTTGTTTGACGGACATCGAAACATACTTTCGTTTTGTAGATCCTTTGGGAGCTGCAGCATTGGAAATTCTATTTGACATAATCGAAAGTTCAAGTTTACTTTTATAAAATTCCTCTTACAGTCTGCAAAAAATAATAAGCCGCATCCAGTTAAAAAATTAAGGAACAACGCAATCATCAACATTAACTGAAATAGATAATTAGATAATTTTAGCTTATACCATCTGTTATACATTAAACACGCATGCGAAAACGTATTCTGCATTTGCGCACACACATATGCGCAGTCGTAAAGGTCTTACACGCATGCGTAAACGCCTATGCGCATGTGTCAACGCCGCGCATGCGCAGAAAGTTGGTCCGGATTATAGATCATTCCGGATTATGGGTGTCCGAATTAACGACTTTTGATTGTACTTATTTAGGGTTACCTTTTGCATCCTATACTCACCTATGCCTGTCCTGTTTGGGATTATAGTAGTAATACTAATATGCATAAGCTCCAAGTTCTACAAAATGTTGTGCTTGGGGATGTGGTGAATTGTTGTTGGTTCATTAGGAACTCAGCAGTTCACCGTGAGCTTAAAATTCCTAAAATCCATCTTTATATTGCTGCACTTGCAGAAAAGTTTTTTATGAAATTTCTTGATGTGTGAAATAGCACCATTCCTGTTTTAAACTATAATTATGATGACAATGATAATCATGGAAGGCTGCTTGCAGTTCTTCACCACTTTAACCCATGATAATCTATTATATCTCTTATGCAAACATTTCTGTTCTTGCTCTTACTGACTTTTTGCTGTGTACTTGTATTGTGCTTGTCCTATGTACTGTAATGCTATCCCCCCCCCCACACACACACTCTATCAGAAATGGTTTTATGCAATACTGCCAATTCTTTTAATATCTCTATAATTGCTATCTGATCACTGCTTCATTGCGCACTTCATTCACCTTCAACGGTTGTCAATCACAAGTGTTGACTCTTTCAGACTCATTATATGCTTCGATGTTTATAGACTATGCTATCCGTGCTGTGTATCTACTTATGAACTACTACTTCTTATATTTCTGTTTCATCTTAGACACAGTGATAAGTCACTTACAGACTTATTGAGGATTTGCCACAAGTTACATTTAGTAAAAGGTATATTCTTTACAATATTATTATAATTTTTTTTCTTAATTTTAGGTTAGTGTCTATCATATGTATTGCCTCTGACATCATCTCTCTCCCCCTTCCCCACCATTGACCAAGCAAATAAGGTAAATTGGATAATAATTTTAGTTAGTGTTTATCTGGTATAAATTTTGTGATGTAAGAACAATTTCTTAAATGTTAATAAATATAAAGGTAATTCTAATTCCAAAGTCCTTGACACTTTTAAAAGAATTATTAAAAAAAATTATATTGTTACCAAATTTGGTACTATTCGGTTTCGAGGGCCGTAAAAAATCGCCAAACTATTGTTGATGCCAATGCTGCCAAAAATAATTGCGGCAACCCTAATAAATGCGGCAAGAAAGGAAGTGCAATAGTAAATAACTATTTAAGATTGATGTTTTAATTTAGATGAAAGATTAACTTCATATAATACGTTTTTATTATCATAATTTATATGAAAAAAGCTAAACATGACTGAATGGAAGCATAAGAGTAAATAACTATTTCAGATCATTATTATAATTTATATAAAAATTGCTAAACATAACTGAATGGATGCCTGCATCGCTATTTCGCTACCGACATATCGCTAAAGCATAATTTCATCTCGTTGGTTGTTCCAACATAATTTTCTATAATGAATGATGCCTTTTCTTTGAAAATGTTCTCGGTAAAGTAGAAAATCGCTCACTTATTTGATTGCCGCTTTTTACAAAGGTAAAAACAGTTGGATTTATGTCAATTTTTTTTTTTACTTTTTAAGTGAAAATAGGTCGATGTGTACATAGATAAAGTCAAGGGTTTGCCCAGTACCATTTTTGTGCAATTCTAGGATTTTTTTTAAAGTGAAAATAGGTCGATGTGCACATGGATACCGAGTATGTGCAATTCTTAAAAATGCGTCAAGCAATGGTTGATTCTGCACTTTACCCAAAATTCTATTGCCGAGTTTTCGTCATGGCCAATTCCCAAATTGTTAAATCTATAGGATATCAAAAAAAGATTTAAAATCAAAAAAGTATTAAAAAATTAAACTAGTATTTCAATGGCATCTTAAGAAATATAGATCTATATAAACTTATGTAATCTGAAATCAGCGCGTACGCTAGATTTGGCGAGTTGTTAAATGGGCGCGTTTGCTAGATTTGGCGCTTTTGCACGTACGTTTTTGCTGCAATTTTCTTACGGCCCTCGAAACCGAATAGTACCCCAAATTTTAATTTGTGAAACTCTGCAAGTATACTTAATGCTTACTCAGTTTTCATTTAAGTATGCACCAAAAGTGCTTGTAAGAATACTCTATTTATCTTTTTTTTTTTTGTTTTTTTTGTTTTGGTCACTTCTTAAATTTCATTTTTGATTCTTTTCTATCAAACTTGTGAGATTAATTTTAGATACCATCTTATTTTTAATGCTAGTTCTTTCCTGTGACCTATTTCTTCATTCTTTACCAGAATGCAAATTAAGAGGAGTTTATATAGCAAGTGAATTTGTAATTCAGGGTGAAGGCTTTGACAATGCACTAAAACAGGAAGAAATTTGTTTTCTTGAGCTATCCACTTGTTTGCCATCTGATTTTAGTGAGTGGTTTGCTTATAATTGCTCACATTTAAGCTTAGAGTTTGTAGCTAGCAGTTATTTAGACATCATATTATGTTGTAAGGTTAAACCTAACTGGATGACAAAACGACATCTTGTGCTTTAGATAATTTTTCATCTTCACTCTCAGCTAGAAGTCTAGGGTAAATCTAATCTTTTAAGAATAAGAAACAAGAAGAAAACTTGATTAAAAATCTATTAACATTGTGTCTTATAAGTAAAATTCAAATTAAAAAACTTCTCCACCACTACTTATGGGCCACTGAAAGCTGTACCTACAAGACATAATGTAAGTAAACTTTTAGTTAAGATTTATATCTGGTCTGTGTTCTTGAAATTTAGAATTCTAATAGTAACAAATATGAGAATTCATCCTCAGTACAAAAACGTTAAAACAACTAATAGGTACTTGGGTTTAACCTTTCAAACTGAATTTCTGAAATTTTGCACAGTGTGTATTTCAGATGAAAGTATAAGGCTGTACTGTGATTTTTAAAATTTGATATAAATTTTTCTCTAATTTTGACTTTTACTTCTATATCCTTTCGTAAATAGTAACAGAATATCAGTCTTTTGTATTAACAGATAGCCTAGAAAAAAAAATCTCTCAAATGAAGTTTTTTCAGTGCATCTAATGTAATTTACCAATTTTTCAAAAAATAATCCTCTTGTTTTTATTTTTATCCCCCCTTCCCGGGTATGGATGTTAAAACTGACGAATTTTAGATCAAAAGTTTAATTCTTCATTATAAATCGAACAAATGTTTAAATAAATTGAATTTAGTCTTACATCATTGTATAGACTGAAAGACCTTGAATGTAAGATGATAGCGTATACTTTGATATTATATCGATCAGAAAAAATCCTTTTCCATTTTTCAGAGACTAATAATTTTGATTTAAGTACTGCATTTTTTAGCAGCCATTCTATTCTACAAGATCCTGCTATTAATTTCCAGGACTGACGTAACTGTTGGAGAACGAAAAGTCGGAAGATGGTGCTAATAATTGCATATTGAAGAGTGTTTTCTTGTGCATGTGCAGTGCAATCGGCGCCATTTTGAAGTAAGTGGTTCTCGTGGAAAGGCGCATTAAAACATAGCTCTTGAATTCCTATTGTCGAAGTGAAAATAGATCAAAGAATTAACATTAAATTTTGCTTCAAATTGGGCAAGACAGCTGCGGAAATCTACGAAATGTCAAAACAAGTTTACGGCGAGGAAGCATTATCCCGCTCAAGAACTTTTGCATGTTTTAAACGCTTTCAAGACGGGTGCAAAAGTGTCAAAGATGATCCAACACACACAAGTCGGCAGCAGTCTGTATGCATGCTGGAAGCAATTGAAAAAGTTCACGATGTGGTGAAATGTGATCATTGATTAACTATTTGAGTACTCGCCAATGAATTCAACATGAACAAAGAGACAGTTTGGCGAATTTTGATGCAAGACCTAGGCAAACGCAAGATTTGTTCCAGATTCATTCCTCACCATTTAAGGGACGAATTGCAATTGAGACTGGACTTGAGACTCCCAATTGCAATTGAGACTGGATGCATGTGGCGAACTTATCGACAACGCTGATGCTGACCCTGCGTTCCTGGATAGGATAGTCATAGGCGACGAGTCTTGGTGTTATCAATATGACCCTGAAACCAAGCATCAAAGCTCCAAATGGCGGTCCCCAAGTTTACCAAAACAGAAAAAATTTTGATTTGAAAAGTCCAAAATCAAGGTCATGTTAATCTTTTTCTTCGATTGTGATGGACTCATTTATCATGAATTTCTTCTTCCTAACATGACTATCAATGGACGGTTCTACACAGAAGTTCTTGACCGACTTCAAAAATGAATTCGTAGAGTGAGGCCTCATTTTCAACAAAATGGGTGTAGGCTGCTGCTACATGACAATGCCCGCCCACACATTGCGTTGCCTGTGAGATGCTTCTTAGCCCAGCATGGTGTCGTTTAAATGCAGCATCCACCATACTCTCCAGACCTAGTACCCACAGACTTTTTCCTGTTTCCTAAGCTGAAAAATTCGCTGAAGGGAACAAGATTTCAGGATATCGAAGCCATCAATAAAATTGAAACGTCACTATTAAAGAGCATTCCAAAAGAGGACTTTAAAACTTCTCTCTGAAATTTGTACAGCCAAGCAGAGACGTGCATTACGACTGATGGGGATTACTTTGAATCATATTAAATGGCTATGTGTTTAACCTTTTTTTCTTCTGAATTATTCCATGAGTCCTGGAAATTAATAGCCAGACAGTGTATTTTAAATCATATGTAATCAAAATTGTTCAAATAACTAAAAATTGTGGGGCAATTTATTCTTTTCCTCATCGCTATGAGAAGAAAAGTAAAAGTATAATGTGTGGAGTATACTTTTAGCTTACTAGTCAAATGACTAAGGTTTTGAACATCTAAAAAAAATCCATGCATTGAGAAATTCCTTATTCAGACAATGTCTCCACTTAAGAAAGTTCTCATATTCCTGCTAATTAATATTTGAATGCATATGTATATAAAGAGAAAAAAATTCTTTTATCCGAGTAAACTCTTTTGTATCAGTAGGTTTGGTAAAAAAAGGAAATGCTGTTTAAGGAAATAGAAAACTTGTTTACTTACTTTAATGGAGAATTCCTATAGCTTAATAAAATTGCTAATTTCTGATGTTTTATTTTTACAGATGGCATCACCAACTATTGAAACTTTCTGCTGTGTGGAATCCAGCTCTGAGCCAAGTATTGTAATGCGCCTACAGTTTCATTACACACCATATAATATAGTTTGTGTTTTATCATCACTCTTAGGAATGCTAGGTGCAATTTACCAGATTTTGCCTTCTCCTGCATCTAATGTTCCTCATAGGCACAGAAGTATTGGTCATACACAGAAAGCCATAATTAATTGGTTGGCAATGGCTGACTTCTTTGCTGCTTCAGGTGTGTTGTGTATTCTGTTGAATCTTTAAATATAGGATATTTAATTTAAAAGAATACTCACTGTAGAAATGAAATATGTTATTGCAAGGCTGGGTGGTAAGGTGCTCGGCAACCCAGCTGCAATTTAAATAAAGCATCTTTTGAGATCTGCTTTTTTCAACTGAAGAGAATTTAGAAGTAGAAATAAAACAAAACCATATTTTGAAGAATCAAATTTCGTTTTATTCAAAAGTGTGTAATTTAAAAATTAATTAAACATTTTGTAAAAAAAAAATTAATTAATTAAACAAATTCATTTTCTACATCTGAATTTTTCTTTTTCTACATTTTACATGAATGAAAATAGGGTTAATCTTTGGAATATGGTAACAGGTAGTTTGGCGACATTTTGGTAAGGCGATAAAAGTTACTAGCTAGGACTTTATTAGTGTACATGGATAAAGTGAAGAGTGTGCGCAATGCCATTTTTGTGCAATTCTGGGATTTTTTTTAAGTGAAAATAGGTAGACGTGTACATGGATGATACCGTGTATGTGCAATTCTTAAAAACGCGGCAAGCAGTTTGCGATTCTGCACTTTCTCCCAATTTCGCAGCTAATCTTCGTCATGATTAAGCATTTTTGTTCCATAAAAGTTCTAGTATAAGCATAATAATCTTCGTCATGATTAAGCATTTTTGTTCCATAAAAGTTCTAGTATAAGTATAATTCGACTAGCAGATTGTTGGAAAAAATGTTGAGTAAAAAAAAAAACGTGCCTTTACTTCGTGAAAACAAAATGGCGACCATGACAAAACTAGCAGGTTGCTGTAGCAGGGTTGGTTGCCAAATTTTCGCCAAAAAATCGCCAAGTTACCATAATCCAAAGATTAACTGAAAATAGATATTTGAATTCATAAATTGAACAGTGAATTAACCCTCTGACTGGCTTTATCTGGTTATCGACTTTTTGACACTTGGTATATATTATCTTTTAACTCATGATATTTTGCTTTCTTACTTTCTTTAATAATATAAATGTCATCTTAATAAATCTAAGTTTATGAAAATAGAGACTAAAGTAAGTAAATTTATATATTTAGCTAATAAGGGCTCTTTAAGTACAAGTATTCATAACAGATCCAAAAACACGAGCCACTCAAAGGGTTAAAATTATCATTGTTTAATTTTAATTGTTCAAACTATCATTTAAAGATGTTCATGTAATATCAGAAATTCATAAAATATATCATTTTAAATTTGCCTTGATGTTCATACTGAAACTAACATGTGTTTTGCCTTCATCGAATTTTAACTGCAGATTTAAATTCAAGTGGCTCATCTACATCTTCATCAAGTTTTTTTTTGGGGGGGGGCAATTACCAGCATACTCCAGCGATTAGAATCCCTTTAGGAGATTCTAAAGTGAGTTTAATATTCATAGTTTTATCTTGAAGCTGTGTGCTGATAAGATTTATGCTGTGAGGAATGTTTTGTCAAATTATCATAGAGGAAATAAATTTTTAAATCTCTAATTTTGAGACACAAATTTTCTGCTTCATTTTGTACTCTTTTATTTAAAATGTTCTCATTCATTATATCATTAAAATGCATTCTAAGTTTCTTGCATATGATAGTTTTGAATTTGCTTTGCCGCCAGGTGTTTGACAGTTTTAATATTAAATTGGATTAAAAGAATTTCTCAACTTTTTAGTGAATAATGAATGTTTAGTTAAAGATGTGAATGAAAAGCTCTTAAATTAGAAGTAGCAGAGCAAAATATATTGACAATTTTGTGAAACTCAGGTAACAAAGAAACACAACACATACAGATATTAGTGAAGTTAGAGGCTTTTGTAAAAAGTGAAGAGAGTATTAGTTTACTTAACAGTGGTTTCAATTTTAGAAATGAGGATATGAAAAATCTTTGAGGGAATATGAGCCTTCTGTTACAAATTATACTATGCTATCATTGTAAGCATTTTTGTTTCTAATGACCCAGCCACTATCAGCTTTAGGGTAATATTAATGTTTGAATCTCTGTAAATTTCATACAATGTTGTTTTCACTTTTAGATTAAGATTAGAATCGAATGTTTTCATTGATTTATAATTAAGTAGTAGTTAAGTAGCATTAATAGTATTGCTACTTGGATGCTTTTTTTTTGGCCTAGGGAGTCTGATTTTTCTCATAGTCTGCAAAGTGCTGGAGTGATTATTTAGTTTTTCAAAGATTGCTGTCAGAAGTGTAAAAATTAACTATTAGGTTTCATATTATTTTATGTAATATTTGTAAATAAATACCACCATAAATAACCTGAATTTTAATCTTTATATATATCTTAATATATATATATCCTCCTTATATTTAGGTAGTTACTCACCTTATATCAGGAATTGCAGCAAAACTCTGCTTAGTCAAAATCCATCTTAACAGGAATCATGGGAGGAAATAGCACTGACAATCTTGTCCCACAATCACTACCCTCTCGAAAACTTTGGCTGTATATATAAACAATAAACTGGGAAGTAAATATATTCAGGAGATAATTTTAAAATTCTTAGACTATACCAATTCAAATTTACATTTTATTAAACAAGCTAGAGGCTGCTTATCTTATATATCTGCTTATAAAATATCTTATACAACATCTTAAGTGGATTTTGTTATTCTTGTGAGGAAATTTGAATCACTGGTGTGTTTGGTGTGTATTTAATTAGGGCAAAGCACACTAGGGCTATCTGCCTAAGGGGAGGGATGCCTTCGTGGAGGACTTTCTAAGGGAAACTGGCTCGTATACACATTACACATGGGAAAAACCACAAAAACACCCATGCAGCCAGCCTGTTCGCGGGATTCGAACCTCAGACCGAACTTTGAATCGCTGGAGTTGGCAATATACTGAACTCCCAATTAGTATATGTATGTGAATTATGCCTTTTGCTGTTTTATATACCATGCATTGTTGCACAGAAATTTCTCTAGCTGGCCATAGGAAAAAAAAAAAGTGGTATACATTTGACTTTTTGAAGAAACTTGTAATTTTGGCAAGCTTGAGATAAATTGAGTTTTAACAATTCATAAAATGAAATGTGAAAATTAAATTATCAAAGATCATGAAAATTGGAAAGTCCTGCTAATACGGATTCAAAACTATCAAGCCTCTGAATTACTTTTGTTGTTCAAGAGTTTGAAAATAAGGAAAATGAAGAAGTAAGGGGGGGAAAGAATGATAAAGGCTATAGGATTTTATAAAATCAAGCATGTCTAATAGCAAAGACTCAATATAGCCCTGAAAAATCTGTGAAGATTAGAATAACCATGATGAGGCATTAAAATTTGTATACAAGTTCTTAGACTACATTAATGAGTAAACTGAGCTTAATAATAGCAGAGATTCAATATAGGCCCGCAAAAGATGTGAAGGTTGGAATAATCATGATGAGGCATTAAAATTTGTGTATGAGTTCTTACACTACATGATGAGTAAATGAACTTAAATTTAATGCTTTACGTAGGGCTGTTGTATTGATTCAGTAACATGACTCTAAGCAGCAGAATATGACAAATGTTTTCACACAAAGTTATTGAAAATATACAAAGGCCTGGCATTATGCTTTCTGCTTCCAGGGTCTATAGAAATTTCCCACCCTAAATTTTTCCACCCAGTGTTAGCAGTGCTTTTGGTGTTGGCCCTAAATATATGTAATCTTTATTTTTAAATTTCATTTTAAAGGTATTTTACATCGTGTGTTTGTAGTAAATGCGATTTCTATTGTTACTTATTTTTCTTTTTCAATTAATTTCTTGCCAGTCTTTTGTACAGTATTTTGGCTGAAAATATGCAACTTTATGAGACATTATATAAGAGAGAAAGTGTACATATTTAAAAAACATATCTTGAAAACAGTAAAGGAATCATGTAAATGTGTGGGCAGTAACTTTCAAATATGGCTGCACTTTTAAAATAAAAATTGAAACCATTAAAAATTACATTTAGAAATGAAATTTATGAATTAGGATTCATTTTAGCTGAAATTATTTATTTACTCAGCTGAAATACTTGAATATTTTTGCGTGCATTGAAACTTTAGTATGTGTACCTGAAATTTTTATTTACAAAAATTTTGTTTCAAAAATTAATCTTAAATAATTTTATACAATCTTTAAATTCAAAATAAGTGATTAAGTAATTTTTTCACACACTTCAGTTGAGGAGATTAAAAACTATATTATAATAATTAATCATTAAATGGAAGATATGAAAAGATGGTTATCATGTCTAATATTTATTTAGACTTTGAGATATATTTGATGATTTTATTTCTTTATTATAACAGGTATTCTTCTAAGATCAATTTTCTGGTTGTGGAGGGGAGATTTTGTAAAAGATGATGGATCAGATTTAATTATATGTGCGATTTTTGCAGTAAGTATAGCATTTTTTATGACTAATTTTAAATCCTTCAAGTAATCAAGTATTTGCATAGATAAATAAATTTTTTTAGAAAAATAATATGTGCTTTATGCAAGATAAGAATGGGATTAATGTGATTTTTCACCCAGTGTTAATGCTGTAGACTTTCAGGGCTTTTATTGTCTTATGATCTCAATGAGACTTCAAGAGTATGATTCAAAATCTAACTCATGGTTTGATATTCAAAAATTATTTACGATCTAAACAGAATTAGAATCTGAGTAACTTCCAACTTGAGTATGATGTTCCCATTAAATTCTTGCTTAAAAATTGAAATTATGTATATGATGAATTTTAAGTGACATAATTTCATATCATGATGTTGTATAACATAGTGACATCATAAAGTCTCTCCAAAATTTTAGGATCATTACATTGTGCTACTATGCACTTACCATTTGCACTTTTGGTAAATGTTACTATTATGCAAATTCTTTAATTTCTCTTCAATACAGCGTTATAAATAGCCAGTTATCAGAATAATACCATTGCATGTAACATGAAATCTTGCACTTATTTTCATTTGTGGTTTTATAAATAATTATTTATAAGAGTGTTACTGTTCAGGAAACTGTAAAAACTTTAAAACTTATATTTCAAATTGAATTGATTTGTTGCTGCCTAACAAACTAAGGAATTTAAAATCAATAAATTTACTTCTCATTTATTTATTAGTTTGTATGTTTGTTTAATATACAGTAAAATTCTTCTTAACACTGTTTTGGAATTATGCATTAGAATTGGGATTCCCTGAAATCACACAGTATTGGTATTGCTAAGTTGATTTAGGATTTAAAGTTGCAAAAGATCTACTCTTCAGAAATCCTCTACTCTTCAGATCTTATACTCTTCAAAAGATCTTCTACTCCTAAAGGTGCAAAAGATCTACTCTTTTACTGGGTGGTAACACTAAACAAGACTTTAAATTAAATCCATTGCTTATCATTCCAAAACTCCAAGAGCATTGAAGGAAATTTCAAAATCTTTTTTACCAGTAATTTGGGAGTCAAATAAAAAAATCTGAATCACTATGCAAATTTTTGATAATTGGTTTACCAAAAATTTTTGCTCATCTGTTAAATGCTACTGCAAATTTAAAAAACTAAAACTGAAAGCTTTACTTTTGATTGATACTGCTACATGCCATCCAAAGCATTTGTCCAACATAACAGCATGTAATTATTTTTCTTGCTGCCATATATAACTTCATTAATCCGACCAATAGATCAAGGCCTAATTTTTAGTTTTAAAGCATGTTGTCTGCGGCACACATTCTGACAACTGACGAATAAAAACAATGGAGAAGATAAACAGTCCATTAGAGATTTTTTTGGAAAACTGCAATATCTTAGATGCTGTAGACCAATGTTTCTCAACCGCCGGTCCACAAGAAATATCCAGCTATCTATACAAAATCCAAACTGTCATCGGCCGACAACCGATATTGCTTACGTTACAATAACAATAGTCTATTACTTTAGAAAATAATATGATCGATTATATTTGTCTTCATGATTTATTTATGTGAAAAAATTGTGCCAATGGGTTGAATTATTAAACTTAACCGTTTCTCATGATGTACCGAAATATATTCCCGGTCCTTGGAGTAAATCCACTTGAGAAACACTGCTGTAGACAACATCAATCTTTCCTGGGATGGGATGACAAAGAAATGTAAATGTTTGTTAAGAGTATGGAAGAATGTATGGCCGGAGCTAAGCAAGGATGTTGGCACAAGAGAATTCATTGTTGCTATTAATGACATTGTCAAACTAGCTAATGAAACAGAGTTTGATAATGTAACTGTGCAGGATATTGAAGAAAAATTGCAAATTACAACAGGTGAAAGTCTCATCAGCGATCTTAAAAAATTAATTGAACAACAAGTGCACAAAGATAATATCAGTGTAAAGGAACTTTCAACAGATTTTCTAAAAAAAGTTTAGCAAAAATTATAGATCAGTTTAAACAAAATGATTTAAATTTTGATAGAAATTCAAAGGTAAAATGAAACATTGAAGCTATGTCATGTTATCAGTAACTAATTGTAGAACGAAACATGAAAGACAAACTATGCTAAGATGACTTATTCACAGAAACACAAAAAATGACAAATGAGGAAGAACCATCACAAACATAACTTCTTTACTCGATTATTTTTAATTTCATGAATGTTTTATGAAAATTGATATTAGAAATAAATAAGTCTATAATTAATGTAATAGAAGAAAATTAATAATAAATGTAACCAAAAAAACTGATAAATTTTCTTATTCGCTCTTCTATTTCACTTATCCTCATTATTTATAATTAAGATGGCCTCGTTTAAAACTGTTTCCCTTAGTGCTGAACATTATTGTAATGTATCCACCATGTTAAGCCGATTCTTACTGTATAGTGAATTTTCTCGTGATAAGCACTTCCAAAAGACAACTGCTTTTGAAGGTGACCATTGTTTCTAAGAACTTAAGCAAACACCAGTATGAAACATCAGCTGTCTAAGACAACCATTTCTATAAATAAACAAAATCATTTGGAGTTTTGGAGTTGTGGATAGTCATCTCAGAGAGGATTCACTACATATCAGACTGATATAATGTAAAACCTATTTAATGTGTAAGATACCTTGTTGGTAATTTTTATGAAAATTTTCAACGATATTATAATTAATAAAAGATGTCTTTAACCTATATATTATGTATTTCGGTATAATTTTTTGGTTTTTTTTAATTAAAGTGGCATGCAGATCGAATAATATGGACAGTGTAAGAAAAATATGAATTGTCCTTAACAGTTTTTATTAAATTTACGCTGTATTGCATATGATTTCATTTTTTAAATTTATAGTGTAAGTCAGTGCTTGCCAATTAAAACAAATATTAAAGGCCACAACAATAATCTTTATATTTTCATAGATAAATATATAAAGATTACCATCAGATAATATTTATATACAACTTGTATTTTATATTGTCATCAGAGAGCATCATATTTACACACACACAATTTCCACTTTTTGTTTGATGGACATCGAAACATACTTTCGATTTGTAGATGCTTTGGTAGCTCTAGAATCGGAAATTCTTTTTGACATAATCGAAAGTTCAAGCTTACTTTTATAAAATTGCTCTAACAGTCTGCAAAAAATAATAAGCCGGATCCAATTAGAAGATTAAGGAATGTTACGAATTTGGTATTTAAAAAGCTAATGTTAGTTTAATTATAAATTAAATGGTTTTATTTCTCGCGCAGTGCAGCGCGTGACGAATATTAAAAGAAAGCTAAGCCGGAAAATTGAAAATACAAGAGCGCGTGCATTAAATAAATAAATATCTCTTTTTGATTTCGAGAAGTACTGGAAAATTCTAGCGCGTGATTTTAAAATCTTATAAAAGGAGGAAAACATCTCAGTTTTGTAGTAGTTGCTTAGTTTGTTGTTTAGAAAACTGCTGTTGTTGATTATAGCGAATTCGCGGATTAGCGTTCTTTAGCTGTTTTGAATTATGTTCTATTGTACATTTGAGTAGTTAAAAGATAACTACTGTGAGATATTGTAATACTGCATGATAATTTGAGAATTTAAGCATTTTTGTTGTGATAATAAAAAGTTTTGTTCATTTTTCATCGGACTTGTGCATTCACTTCATAACGAACCCGTACGCACGCAACAATTTTTGGCGTCAGAAGTGAGATTTGAATAACAAAGTCAGAAGTGGGAATTAATAACAAGAGCTATGGAAGAGCAATTAAGGCATTTAATATCAGCCTTTGCCTCATTTAAAGAAGAAATGAAATTGGGCCAGGAATCCGTTAAGGAAGAAATGAAATTGGGCCAGGAATCCGTTAAGGACGAAATGAAAGCCGTTCAAGCTGGTCAAGAAGAAATGAAAAGAGAAATTACCTGCATAATAGAAAATAAATTTGAAGCTATGGAAGACAGAATTGACACAGTTGAAAATAAAATTTGAACAAATTGAAGAAAAAGTTTCTTCTGTAAAAGATCAAATTGAAGAAAGAGTTTCTTCGGTGAAAGAAGAAATAGAAGAAAGAGTTTCTTCTGTAAAAGAACATATAGAAGGAAGAGTTTGTGCTGTCCAACACCAAATCGAACAACAAATTGATGATAGGGTTTCTGCAGTAGCCAAAGAAGTGGATATTTTTAAAGAAATTCGTAGCGACAGCAGAGAACAATAGTGATGGTTTTAAATTTTTACCCATGCCTGCTCGTCCCTCTCTGAAGTTATCCACTTATGATGGGAAGACCTCCTGACAAGTGTATAAAACACAATTTTCTATAGTGGCGGATGCGAATGGATGGGATTCCCAAACTAAGGCCTGTCATCTCGCCGCTTCTCTGAGAGCAGACGCAGCGGATATCCTGCAGACACTTCCAGAAAACCAAAGACTTGACTTCGAAGCTCTATCCGGCGCATTGGAGCTGCGCTTTGGTGAGAAATGTTTAAAGGACTACAGCAGGCTTCAATTAAAATCCCATCAACAGAAGCCCACCGAATCACTCCAGGAACTCACCACGGATGTTGAAAGGCTGTCCCACCTCGCATTTACGGAGTGCCCGAGAGAAACGAGGGAAATTCTGTCGCTGCAATATTTCATCGATGGCATCCGGGACCCTGAAATACAGAAAGCACTGCGAATGGCAGACGTAAAGGATGTAAAGAGCGCTCTGTTGTACGCCGTGAAATTGGAGGCAGCCCAGCAAGCAGCTCTTAGGGATCGCTACCCTGTCAGAGCTGTGCGAGTCTACGACCCAGGGGACCAATTGATGGCTCGTTTAGATGATTTATCCAGACAAGTTGATGCTTTGATACAGAGTAGCAGTGAGAACAAAGTGGCTGTAAGATGTTGGAGATGTGGTTCTGAAGGTCACCTACGACGGCATTGCAGAACACCCCAGGGCACGGATAATGAAACGGATGAGTTGACAAGACCAGTGAATTTTTTAAGACGGAATAGTGGTGAAACAAAACCGACCCTAAAGTGCTGGAATTGCGGTGTTGAAGGCCACCTACGAAGGAACTGCAGAACTCCCCAGAGCATAGAAAATAAGGCATACGATTTAAACAGACAATTAAATGCCACGGGAAGGAAAAGGACTGACAAGAAACCAAAGTGCTGGAACTGTGGTGCTGAAGGCCACGTACGAAAGAATTGGAGAACACCCCAGGGTACGAATATTGAGACAATTTCTGAGCAACGACGCAGGAAACAAATTAATGACCATATCAAGGAACGGAGGTTGCCAGATAATGAAAAACCCTGTTTAAAGCGCTTAAGATCTCTATAGTGAGTGGCAACAATAACGGACTGTCCATCAATGGGAATATCGATGGAGTTCCTTGCAATATGATCATTTACACAGGAGCTAATGTTACCATCATTAGGAAAGATTTAGCTGAACAGTTTAAAGATAAACTTGTTTGGACGCCATCCTGTGTTACCCTTCAGACTGCGTCTGGTGACAAGATCGACATAACTGGGAAGTTAAACGTAAACATCACGTTTGGAAGTGCCGCCTACCATCACACGGCATATGTGGCGGATATTACAGATCCATGCATACTCGGATTGGACTTTTTAAGGAAATACAATTTTTCCTTAGATTTCAAAAACAATAAGCTGCTTTCAGCATCTGATGTCATGACTATCCATCCTCAAAAGGGATCCTCGCCTGGAAATGTCGACGCCTTGTCCGAAAGATCGAGCTCGGGGAGCTGCCGAAATCATACCAGGGTCGAAAAGAAACTCAAGACTACCAGCTATTCTCCATCCCAGAAGCTCTTTGGTCGAGACCTTCGTCTGCCTTGTGACCGCCTGTTTGGTCGCCCTACGGATGCGCCTTCATCGCCTGAGGAACACATCCAAGATGCCCAGGCCCGGTTTGAGGGGATGCACCGTTCTGCACGAAAGCGAGTCAACTTGGCGACGGAGAAAATGAAGACCGGATGCGACACAAGAGCTACTAGACAGAGATCCAACAAAGGAGACAAGGTGTGGTTGTGGAACCCAATTCAACGAAAAGGACTGAGTCCTAAATTACAGTCACCTTCGGATGGTCCATATACAGTGCTGAACACGAATGATGTGGTGGTTCGGATCCGTGAGTCTTCGAACTCTTACGACAGGTTAGCTCATTACTATGGCCATAATATGTAATGTGAATAATTGTAAATAGTATAAGACCATGGTCCTTTTTTTTAAATGTGTATTTGATTTGATTTGTATTTGATAGCATTTGATTTGTATTTGATAGCATTTGATTTGTATTTGATAGCATTTGATTTGTTTAAGTTAGTTATTGCATTTATTGTTCATGTTGTTTGATATTGTAATGTAATGTTTATGCCACAGTTGTAAGTTTAGCTTCCTGTCCAGGGATTGTACTGCCTGGGACGTGCAGTCCTTGGGAAGGGGGCAGTGTTACGAATTTGGTATTTAAAAAGCTAATGTTAGTTTAATTATAAATTAAATGGTTTTATTTCTTGCGCAGTGCAGCGCGTGACGAATATTAAAAGAAAGCTAAGCCGGAAAATTGAAAATACAAGAGCGCGTGCATTAAATAAATAAATATCTCTTACTGGAAAATACGAGAAAGTACTGGAAAATTCTAGCGCGTGATTTTAAAATCTTATAAAAGGAGGAAAACATCTCAGTTTGTAGTAGTTGCTTAGTTTGTTGTTGTTTAGAAAACTGCTGTTGTTGATTATAGCGAATTCGCGGATTAGCGTTCTTTAGCTGTTTTGAATTACGTTCTATTGTACATTTGAGTAGTTAAAAGATAACTACTGTGAGATATTGTAATACTGCATGATAATTTGAGAAAATTTAAGCATTTTTGTTGTGATAATAAAAAGTTTTGTTCATTTTTCATCGGACTTGTGCATTCACTTCATAACGAACCCGTACGCACGCAACAGGAACAATGCAGTCTGCAACATTAACTGAAATAGATAATTAAATAATTTTAGCTTAGCTTATACCTTCCGTTATACATTAAACGCGCATGCGTAAACGTATTAGTATATTATGAGATTTTTTTTTGAGTTTATAGTCCATTATGGGTTTTCCAATCACCCCACTCTTTTTTTTAATTAATTAATTTGTTTTATTTTTTTCACTTAAAAAAAATTTGAATGTTTACAACATTAGTGATAATTAATTGGCAAATTTGATTGATATCATGTTCTGAAACTGTCACTACTGCAGATAATCACAGTACTGGTTTTGAAAGTTTCACATCTTTGTTACTCAAGTCTTCATCACTCTTGATAAAAATAGTCATTTTCTGTTTCCTGTGAGTGTTTTCTGTGTCTAATTGACTCAGAAGCATTAATTAAATAAAAGAAAAAGAAAAAAAAAGAATTTATAGTTCAAAATAAAGTATTCAGTATGTGATAGTATTAAAATGTGTATTGTAATTTAAAATTCTATTAATGTTCTCTATACATGTTTTTATGTATTTTCCCCATATGCCTGCATGAAACTAGGCCACTTTCCCTTAGAAAGGCTTTCACAAAACATATGTTCCCATAAGCAAATATTCCTGATATGCATGCTATAATAAGTAAATTAATTTGCAGATGATCACTACTTAGTTATTATCCTCCCTCCCTTTTTTTTTTTTTTTTTGGTAAAATTATATATCATCCATTATTATCCATATACTTTCAGATAATTTTCCTGTTTAATAAAATTTTATCTTTAAACATTCTGCATAAAATATGAATTATTCACCCCCAGGTAAACCATTTACATGCAGTGGTCACTATAGAACTTTTTTTTTTTTTTAGCCATCTATCTGAGAATATTATTAGCTCTTCAATGAACCTAAACTTGGTGGGTGAAAAAAGCATTTACATATTTTACCTCGTTAAACTCTATTGTTATTGTGTCAAACAGTTTATAGACTAAAAAGTGTAAAATTATTTTAGGTATATAATATTTTATATTAGATATCATTTTCTGTATGCATTTTTATATTTGATCATTTGTCTTAAATATGATATTGTATTAAAATTTGTAGTTCCTTCATATTTTACTTCAACTATTTCAGGTGTGGGTTCGTTATTTTTATACTGCAACGTATATGTGGACAATATGTTATGCTATAGATGTTTTTCTTGTTTGCAAACAAAAAGTGGGGTAAGTTAATTAGCTTTTACTCCTATAAGAATTTTTTATATAATTGTTTCCTAAATTTCTTTTACATGTATATTGCTGTAATTTTACGCAAACATTTGTAGGTACTTGTTTATATTTGTTTGCATTTTATTATATATTGGTTTCACAAAATACATCACAATTTGATGGGTGGGTTTTTCCCCCTTTCTTCTTCTTCTTCTTCTTTTTTTTTTTTTTTTTTTTTTTTTTTGTTAAAGTGATGCCAGTGACTAAATGTCATAGCCTTTTCATATTGCATCATGAATAGCTGTGCAATGTTTAATTTATGCAGTGCCATGTTGTGCGCACATTGCTAAATCTCTACAATTATCTTGATTTTTTTAAAGTAAAAACATTACTGTATACATAGAGAGAACTGTTGTTCTCCCTATGTACACAGGGATCTATTTGTGTCAAATTTGACTTTGTGCACAGTTTTAGCTTTACATACATTATATATATATATATAGTATATGTTACATTACTATAATTACAAGTTTATTTTTTAAATCAAAAATATTTTACATCAAATAAGTTAATTTGAAATTTTCAGAAGATCTAGTAGGAGACTGTAAATATTTATGCAAAAAAATTTCTGTACTTTCTGATTATCTGCACCCCTACTGAAAAATCATGAGAAGGTATTCTTGAGGCAAGCAGTATGTCACCAAAATATTTATATGACAATCCAAAAAATGATGTCGCCAAATGTTTTGTGGTAACCCACGTATGTGTGCAGTATTGTTTTGGCCAGCATTGCAATGCCAGATTGTACAGGTGCTAAGTTTGTGCAATACTCTGATGCTTAAGGGAAAGCAGGTGCCTTTGAAAGATTGCCTTAGAAGACTAGTGAAAAAAAAAAAAAAAAAAAAAAAAAAAACAGAGGTTTGTTGAAAAAGATAAATGTTTTATAACCTATGTTTTTTTTTAAATTTTATTGATTGATTGCTTTTATATGGAATTTTTAGTGTGCCACTGTTTTGAAAAGGGCATTTGATATATTAGCATGGTGAAAAATTACTCACCAACAGGTTTGCGACTTTTCAGTGGGGTATAGATAGCTGGAAAGTGCCAAGTTTTCTTATATGTTGTATAAAGTAAAATATAATAGAGAAGGGATTTCTTTCCAACCTTATAGAAGTCAAAAATGTTATCATGCATTTTCATGGTTTATGCCACTTCTCCTGACTACCACAGGCTTGGGAACATTGTATTTGCCAAATTTTAGGTAAGTGTACTCAAAAAATAAATCTTCTGATATATTCATGTTTTTTGCACCATTTATGTTAGTATTATATTATCAATATTTCTGAATTTTTTCGACATCTTGAAGAAAAATTTATTATTTTCATTATGTAGATTTGGTACATTAGCAAAATAGGAGCTATTGCTATTTTGCTTGCAGAAAATATTTAATGGTAGATTCATATGCAAGTGAGATAATGAAAAAATGCACTTCTGCATCTTGAAAAATTAACTATTGTTTGCAAACGTATCCTCTAAGTGCAAATTTCTTTACTCCTACTATCTGGCCTTGTTATTTTGAACAAATGATTTGAAATATATTATTTTATGTTTTGTGTCTTGAATATCTAGTGATTCATTCTTAAATTACTTGGCCTATCATAACTGTTTCACTTAAATTTGTATTAAGTATTGAAGCTGAATTTGAATATAATGTTCAGTTTGCACTTTTTTAATGTTTATAATATCATATATATATATTAATTTTTGACAATTTTAATGGTGAACTTTTTTATGGTTTTAGATTGTAATATAAAGTTTACAGATTGCAATTTTTTTAACCACGGAAATTTATTACTAAACACTGAATTAACAATAAGTAAGTGATGATCATAGATATATATTTCTGTAAATTTTCTGACCTTCATTACAAGAAACTGGATATTTAACACATAGCAAATGTTTCTTCATACTCTAAAATCTTGTACAAAGGTCTAACTAAATATACAGTATAATGAAAATGTATTTAGTAAAATATTTATATCCATTTACTTCTACACTAATGTCCATAAATTAAAGATAATTCGGAGTCACGCAGAAATCTAAAATAAATATATCACCTGTAAAATCACTAAACACGTCTTCAAGAATCGTATGCAAATTTCGGGAAGTAGCCAGATGACACCGATGGTACATCACAATGACGAGAGTGTAAGAGAGTGATATATAAGGAATACAGGCAAAGAAGTAAAATTGTTCGCAGGTGCTTTATAAGCATTTCAGTGCAATAACCGAATAGTTATGACACAAAGGACGCATTTGAATGATTTTTTACGTGGTAGAATTATCGGCCGTCTGGAATGTGGGCGTACCCAACTGGAAGTATCAGACGAACTTGGAAGTGCCCAGAGTGTCATCTCCAGGCTTTGGCAACGATTCCAAGATGATGGTAATGTGAGTAGACGTTACAGCACAGGTCGTCCCAGAGTTACAACGCCGAATGAGGCCCGGTATTTGGCAGTTACTGCCAAAAGGAACAGACGGAGCACAGCCTCAGACCTGTCTCGTCAGCTCTCTTCAGCCACTGGTACGACAATTTCAAGGCAGACCGTGTACAGACGCTTAGGACAGATTGGTCTAATATGCACGTAGACCTGACAGATGCGTTCCACTTACTGCAACTCACTGTCGCCTGCGGTTAGCCTGGAGTAGAGAGCATGCATTGTGGACACCGCAACAGTGGGATTGTGTGATGTTTTCCGACAAGTACAGGTTTAGCTTGCCGTCTGATTCTCACCGGACTTTCATATGGAGAGCTCCAGGTACCCGTTACCACCAAGAAAACATCATTGAATGACACCGTTACGGTGGTGCTGGAGTGCTCGTTTGGGGTGGAATTATTCTGGGTTCCAGAACTGACCTGTATGTTCAAATTGGAACCATGACAAGCTAAATCTATAGGGACGTCATTCTGGAACAACATGTATGTTTGTTTCAGGGCGCCATGGGCGCACAATTTGTGTTTATGGATGACAACGCCCATCCTCACCGTGAAAATATCGTAAGCGAATGCCTTCAATCAGAGGATATCACCCGTATGGACTGTCCAGCATTCTCACCGGACTTGAATCCAGTAAAGCACGTGTGGGACATGCTTGGCCGACGAGTTGCAGCCCATCAACCTCCTCCTACATGTCTACCGGAACTTCGGAGAGCATTGCTTTTTGAGTGGTGTAATATCCCCTAAGATCAGATCGATAATTTGATACTCAGCATGCTTATGCGTTGTACGGACTGTATTGCATCGTCTGGGAGACATACAATGTATTAACAATCATACCAACCATGTAATATTGGTTTTTTGTAAATAGGCTTTTTTTTGTAATTTGCCTCCAGGGAAAAAAATCGCTAATTTTTTTAATAATATCAAACATATAGCATCTTTTTTTGCTCTTTACCTTTTGTTTAATAAATAAGCTTTACAAATAAGTCAAATTTGTTTTGCTTCTAACTCTTCCTTTGCCTGATTTTGCATTATCCTTAATTTATGGACATGAGTGTAATTTAAATTATTGTTGGCATTGGGAGTTAGAAAATTATATTCAAAATGGTGTACATTTATTTCAAGTATTTTAACTTTTTATTACAAGTGAATGTTAAATGCATATTACATATTTCATTATATTCCAAAAGAATAATAAGCAATTAAAATTTTTCAAGAGCCCTCATATCATTCAAAGTCTAAACTACATTTTTTTAAAACAAATAAGTCTAGAATTCAGCATTAAAGTACATGAGTTGATGTTATCAATTAATTATAACCATCTTTAGACCAGAATAAATACTACTTTATTTATAATATACAGATACACACATATATATACATATATACACACATACACTCACACACACATATATATATATGCACACACTTGTGTGCAAAATTAAGAGAATTCACACATTATTTTGAATTTCTGAAAAACTAATGGATTTTGATGAAATTTGTTATTAGTATTCGTTTATAAGAAAGAGATGTACCATTCAAAAGTCTTATATATGTAGGGTTATCAATAAATCCACGATGTGATATCGAACTGGAAATGAGTCTAATATGGGGTATGATCCCCTTTCACAGACAGACAGGTCACACAGCATGGCAGCTTATTGAACAGAAGGCAGTCAAAGAGTCCCTGCGGCAGTTGATCCTACTCCTACAGTGAAACAGGTTTCATCTCCAGGATGGAGAAATAAAATTTCTCTTCCAAGAGCATCCCAGACATGCTCAATAGTTTTAAGGTCGGGAGATTTGGTTGGCCAATCCATGCAGCAAATATCCTCACATCTCAAGTAATCATCGACCAGTTCAGCCATATGTTGATGATCACCAGAGAGCCTTTGTCAAACAGATGGACGGGTGTATCCAGCATAATGCTTGCCCAAACCATTACTCCTTCACCACCACAATGGTCTTTTTCGCTAATGAGGGAGGGATAGTGTTGTGTTCCAGGCTGTCTCCAGATACAGGTATGCCAAGAATCAGTGTCTATGCTAAATCTTGACTCATATGTTAAAAAGCACAATGTTTCACCGAAGTCTGGTCCAAGGTGCATGTTTTCTGAACCATGATAAATGCATATGTGCTGCAGTGAACGGCACTCAAACAGCAACTCATCTGGCATACAGTTGTATATCATGAAGCCTTCAAGCAACTGTAGACCATGAAACTCGGGTGTCAATGGCAGCATACAATTCAAATGAGAGCTGTGAAGATGTTCCAATCTCTTGATAGAAAGTCAAATGAGGTCAGTCACGATTTTCCCATATGGGAAGTTTGATTTAAGTTTTGAATCCAGCAACAAAAAATTCTAAGAACCAAATGTTAGAATGATCTTGGTGAACCTTGTCCAGGTCTTCTCGATATGGATCTAGTATCCCAAAACTACTTCCACAAAGCCAGGCATTACATTAAACTCTGTAGCCCCCTGCACTTTACATTAAACTCTATAGCCCCCTGCACTTTACATTAAAATTTGTAGCCCCCTGCACTTTACATTAAACTTTGTAGCCCCCTGCACTTTTGATTGGCCTGCCTTCAATCTGCTGATAATTCTTTTATGCGAGACCTTACAAAATTTACTCAATTTTTATGAGAAACATGGAAAATGTCGCACAGTCATAGCTCCACAAACCTGCATGTGTATGCTTATGTATTCAACTTTGAATTTTTGCATATTTCTTTGGCAACATAATTAGTACCTCTGGTTCAATGCTTTTTGTAAAAATAGACACGATTTTGAAATTCTCTTAATTTTGCATGTGAGTGTGTGTTTATAATCACAAAATTCTATAATCAGTAATCAAAACACATGCACAAAATTATGCGCATCTATGCATTTTAAATAATAAGTAAATGCATCATAATGAACTGAAACAGAAATGTATATCTAATCAAGAAAATAAATCATAGTTCATAGAGTTTCAACAAAATATAACAACACCGATAATTTGCATGTCACAAAGGTCTAAATACAGAGAGAGAAATTCTTTATTTACTGTAGTCAAATGAATCAAAAAGTAAAGTTAATACCTTGTGGGTCCATCTTTTACAGCTATCACTGTTGTAATCTGCCTGCTATCGATAGAATCAGATTTGTCGTAGTATCTGCTGTAATTTCAGACCATGCTCCATCAATTGTTGCCTTCAAAATTTTTTGTTAGTAATTGCATACTGGCAGATTCGCCATTCAAGTTCATTCCATGTAGTGTAGGGTTTAAATCTGTCAGTTGGGGTAATGAATGCAGCTGACTGGGTACTTTATAAAGGAGTCATTGTCTAACAATCTCAGCAGTATGTTTTAAGTCATCTGATTGAAAGACCCAGCTCTTTCTTAGTCCCAATTTTTCAGATTACTTTTCAGTAATTTCAGATATACAAATCGATCTGTAATGCAATCTATGAAAACTAATTTACCTACTTCAACCACTGCCATTGAGTCCCAAACCATTATACTTCCTCCACCATGTTTAATAGTTGGTGTCAAATTTTCCCATTTCATGTCTCCTTTTTCCGTTGCAAAATCTTTCCACAACCATCGCTTCCGAAAACTCTTAACTTACTTTTGCTAGTAAATAGTACTGTTTTCATAAATCAAAGTCTTTGTTTAGGTGTTTATTTGCAAAATTAAGCTCCTTTTTTGAGGTGAGATCAAAGGTTTTCTTCTTGGAGGTCTGTCTTTAACACATTGCCTGCCGCGCACATTTTACGTGGTTTGCTCATGGCGCCAATATGATTTTTTTTATTATGCGCTGTATATTATGTTGAAATATTATGGAATATCTATGGAAGATGAGTTATATATATGACGGGGGTCACCGGTGACCCCCCGAGGCACTGTAGATAATTTTGCGATTTATTATTCAAGTTTTCGCAATTTATTATTCTTCAAACCATTATAGTAACAATGGTATTATTTAAAAAATTGTCAGTATTGATATTTACTCTTAATTATGTATTTTTACTATTGGTTGCATCACCAATGGCCCCTACGGCACTGTAGCAAGTTGAATGCCGACCACCGGTGACACCCACGGCAGTCAACATGTTAAGTACCTCTAGGATTCTACACACAGTTTCTGGATCGACTTTATATCCAGTTATTGTTTAGTTAATTCTGAAGCACTCCCTTATGTATCATTTTTTATTTTAATTGTAATTGTAATTTTTATAGTTGCTTGAATTTTCCAAAAATGTTAGGTATTTCACCACGAGATTTCTTTTCTTGTTTACAGTTTACAATAAGTTTTCTCACATCTATAGAAATTTCTTTCCTCGGATTCATTTTTTTTTCAAACTACTATCACCTTTAAAAGAGAGAATCAAGATTCTGGATTTCACATGTGGTTGAGGTGTTCTTATAAAACAATAGGAAAAATTTGATGTGTACACCACATGACTTCCTTGTACGGAATATTAAATTATACACATTTTTTCTTGCAGTTCATTTAAACTTATTAGATTGAATTAAACCTACTTCGCTGACAGTGCATAAATCACAATAGAATAAATGCATTCTTTAAAATTCACTTTGTTTACCATAGCGACACTCTGGCGCTAGGTTTACTTAACAGTATTATATTTCGTTCATATTATAACTCAGAATGCACAAAATTTATATCATTTAAAGAATTATCTAAACGTTGCCACATGTTCTATTCAAATACTATAATAAAGCTAGAACTATGTATAAAACAAATTAAGAAAACAAAACAAAAGAGAAACAGTTTTTCACAGACGATTGAGTATTTCTCATTCAATTAATTCAGTTTTCACTTCGCGACAAGGCAAAAATACATAAAAACTCAAAATATCTGTATTAAAAATTACGAAGTAAATCTTAAACGCTTATTTCCTCAAAAAAATTCAAGAAAGGATTAAGCATGATTTAAATAATAAATGAAGGTGTTATCTTTGTTGTTGCGAAGCTAAGTTTCTCTAGATTGGCAACAAATCCGCTATTCAGCTGTTTCAAATGTAAACAAGAGCAATGGACACCATCAAATTAGGCTTAGCGGCACTTAAACAATTTTAAAATTGTTGATAATTCTAAAAATATTGCATACAGATTTACTAAAGGCATAAAACCCTTAACCGGAAGATAAAAACAACATAATTCAATCATTTTTAAATAAAGCAAAAAATGTACAATTTACAAACATACAAGAGTAAAGAAACTGAGTTCACTGAGCCGGGTAACAGGGTGGATATCACTCTGTTTGTTTGGCGCGGACAATTGAAACCAAAATACGAGGTGCACATCTACATGTTATAGTAGTCTTATATACAAAATTTCAACGTTCTGAGGCTACTCGTTTTTGAATTATGCGAGATACGTACGTACGTTCATACAGATGCCATGAAAAATTCTCTTCAGAATTCATTTTAAGCAGTTTTTTAGTTTTTTTGGAGGAAAAGAGTCTTTTATTCTGTCCTTACGTACAGATATCACCAAAAACATTGTTAAATTGCATTCAAAAGCGGCAAAGTGGATATTTTCGTTGAAATATGCTGCCTGAAGCTTTTCGCGATTACAATACTTCCTTTTTACTTCGTACAAGGAAGTAAAAAAACACCCCCATACGCAAATTTAGTTAAAAGTCAATCAGTTGTATGCCGACGTTTGTGATGTGCTCGTTTCCACAAATCTGCATATACCTTCCATATTTACCTCAGTTAAGCTGTTATTTTTGAAGTATTTTTAATATGAGTAACATGACAGTTAATATAATTTAACAGTTTAAATTAAAATTATGTTTGGTAAACCTCTGTTTTAAAGAGTGTATGTAGAGTTCTGTGATTGTGTATATGTATATAGATTTAATTATCTGAAATTCTGCTTTACGGGAATAAATTAATATGGAAATTTATCAAAATTTCTTGCCAGAAATCTGATGTCTTATTTCTAATTATGGGATCATGAGAGTATTCGACGATGGTTCTGAACAAGCTACCAATGGCAGATCTAATAATAGAATGTCAATCATAAGAGCACCTAGAATTAGGCATTCATTGCAAATTTGTGTTCTGTAATAATTAGGGCAGAATTTTTTTATATAAATACATTGAAATTCTCTCAACTCTAAAATTTGATCAGTTGTGAATCTTCTTATTGCTTCCATCTTGGATTAGAAGCTTGAAAAGTTGTGAAGTTAATCAAATGTAATCGGTATTTTACAGCCAGATATTTTGGCAATTATAAGGTAAAACCTGGTTGAATAAAATAAAAGTTGTGTCTAGGTTAAAATAATTAAGTCATCCAAGATGAATGCTAGATAACCATATATCAGAAAGATAAACCTAGTGGTATATTGATCAAGGGGAAAGTAATCCTGTCATTCGATGAATCTATTTCTGTATTCATCACTTTAATATGGTTTATGTAGGGAGGGGGAAGAATTGCTTAGAAGTCAGACCCCCCCTTTTTTTTTCCTGCCTTAAATTTCTTTTTGACAAATATGTCTTGATTTTTAGCAGATCTCATTAATCAGCTTAAAAGAATTATGGGTATGCAGCCATTGTGCAGATGTTTTTCCTACATCCTTTAAGAAGATAATTACATAAATTATAGAGATGAGAATTGTGATCATGGTTTGAAAATTCAGTCATGAAACAAAAATAGCATTGAGCCATTGGAAGCTGTACTGTAAAACAGTACGAGATCTTGTAATTTTCTGCTGATTATTTCAGGGAAGTAAAATAAATAATCACCTTAAACAGTCAGATGGACTGAATAGTTGTAATATATAATGATTTTAGGCAACTGTAGTGCAGATCTTATTCACTCCCATCCTTTCAGAATGATAATGTCTTAATAGAAAAGCTGGGAATGTTCAGTTAGGATATGATTTGGAAATGAAGTTGTACAAATTCTGTGGTCTCCACACTCAACATATTTGCACAATTTTGATCCTCGGTAGTCTGCACTGGAAAACAAAGTGCAGTGTTTTTACATTCTCTATCATCTGTCCACAAACTAAATCAGATTTTGTATGAAGATTATATAAAATAGTATTTTTATGTGTCTGTTTCAAGAAGCTTTTAATGAATATAAATGAATGATAAATGATGATTTTCTGAAGAATTGATAGAGATCTTACATTATAATAAATTGTTAACACTTCCATTTTTTAAATAATCCCATTACATTATGCAACTTCTATATGTGTATGTAGGTTTTCTTTTTTAAAAGATTACTCTTTCTTTGTCTTTCTGGCAGTATTATGATTTAATTATATTGTTTTTATAGGTGTCATACAGGGCCATTAAGAGTATTTCCAAATTATTTATTGTCATACATTCCCATACTTCTCATTATGATAATGAATCCTATCTTATATTATATCTCATCTAAAAATGGTAAGTACTATTATTTATCTGTAAATAATTTAAAATAATTGCATAGAATTATTTAGAAGGATTGACTCAATTTCCATTGAAAAGAGTTCTGACTTATCAGCCATATATTGATTTGATGTATGTGAAATGAGAAAAGCTAGTTTTTTAGTTTTATGGGAGTACATAAAGATAATACTACTGTCATTTTGCCTCCATACTAATGAAATCTGAAAAGGTGACATCCCTGTCAGAATATTGACAGTTCCAGCCAATTCACTGATTTCTTCACGAAATGTTTCCTCAGCATCAGATTGGTTATAATTGATGCTGTAGTGGTCTGCTAACTTACTGTATCTTCCATCATTCAACATTTTTCATTGGTTTCTTAAAGTTGTTGTATTCATAGAAGTTCACATTTACAGGCATGCTGAAAAGATTTTATTTGTTTGGCAGCAAAAACAATGGAATAATTTATTCAAACAAAACCTTTTTATTTTCAAAAATATACTTGTTATTACATGTAAGCACATATTACTGGGAGAGTAACTTCCTTGAGACTCTGGCAAACATTCTGCCATGAAATATGGACTTGTATGAATATGATGCACATTGCTGTTAGTCTGATGCAAACAGTAGTTACCATTGTATCGAATAATGATGTGCCCTTGTTTTATAAAAAAAGTGTATCTTTTAATGTCATTATAAATGTAAATTTTAAAAATTAATTTAACTAACCTACTTTTGTAAAATAGAGTTTTGTTGCAAAATTCAAATTTTTCAGAAGGGTAATTTTGTAACTTTTATTACATAAAGAAATATATGACCTCTCTGACAAGTTATATTCATGTGTATATCATCCATGTTTATTTCAGTTTTTCTCCTGACTTATGAGACCACAAAATTTACTTGGAAATTTCAAACCTGTTTCCTTTCTGTAACTTCAGTGGTTCTAAATCTGGTTTCTCAATAATAATATGGTTAAGTTGATCAGCACTTTTTTTTGGGTGGTGGTGGGGGGTGGAATGGTTCATTTCATTCACGTCATTTATCTGATAAAGTAGCTTTATTAGCTAAATTCCAAATGATAAATTAAATTATATCATCTATTTCAGTGATTATTGAAATGGAATGATGATTTCACTTTAGAAATGTTTAGTATTTTCTACACTATGTTTTAAACATTTTAAAGCATCCATGGTTTAATTGCTTTGGGGGCTTTTATTTGGGAGAGAATGAACATCTGTTACTAAGCATAAAGAATCTCAGACTGTTTTAATATTTACTTTGTTCTTTTTATAACCCTGTTTCACTTCTTTCAGTTTTTCAATCATTAATGTTATTTTATTGATATTTAATCACAGTTCTTTTTGTAGACATGTAAGTAATGTGAATGCAGTTAAATGTCTTCTAGCTTTTAAATTGAAAAACAGTATTTTAATTAAATACAAATTAATTTATCATTAATTTTTTTAAAATTTTTGTATGATTATTAAAAAAAACTGACTACTGCTCAGTATCAGTAATCTCCTTAACAAATATTGAAGCACAGTAATTTGAATAGTTGTATAGTCAGATACTACTAAATAAAAAATTTCTGTGTTCTAAAAGTATGTTTAAAATTTCTTATTTAATGTTTCACACAGTCTTCATAAAGAAATTGTCTATCTTAATTGTGTTTAAATATTTTTATTTATATCTTCGCATACTGGTAAGTATTTTCTAGATTAGCTATTTCTTCTAGAATAGTTTAATATAAATAAAATATGTTACAGAATAATCCTTGAAATGAATAGCATTTGAATTAATGTTTGCTTATTCAGAGACCTCTTTTGATTATCTTACAATTAGCAAAGAAAGGTCCTGTAGACCACTTATCTCTCCCCAGCAAAGACTGAGGCATAGAGTCATTCATTTTTCTCAGTTTCTTTCACTGAAGTTAGTTTGGGGCTCTAGTCTTTTAACAGTTGTAACTCTTGGTAAAACAAATTTCAAATAGTAAATAGATTTTCTAAAGAATGTAATTTTATTCTTAAAACAAAAGTCAGCAAAATTGTTTACATTTTATTCAAGTCTCTACTGCAGTTTAAATGAAGTCTTTCAGCTTGTAATACATGCTGTCACCAAAGTAAACATCTTTTGTTTTGTAATTCCTGTCTAAATGTAGTGGAAAATTCTTGAAAATCACTTAGGAGTAGATGGAGAAAAGGAGATTTAAGTCAAAAAATTCATTCTCTAACATTTCCATGAGTTTTGTCTTTAAAAAAGAGTTTGGAAATTTCTGCATTGAATTTATTAAAGCATTGTAAACATGTTATTAATTGAATTTTTATCTTCATGGGGATTAAAAAGTTAAATTTTATATTTATAAAAATCCTTCAACCCCACCCCCCAGTGTTAAAACTGTTTTTGTAAAATTCTGTATCTCAGCATTTCTTATGGAGTATTTTTACATTTTTTTGTACTGAAATTAAGTATATTTTTTTTAATTGCTTGAGACCTGCTGACTTATAGAGTCCTAGAGGTCCACAGATGATAGTTTAAACTTATTTTGTTAATTGCTTACTTTGAGAAATTAGCTAGATGTCTGCTTTTTTTCCCAATAGTTCGCATTTTACTTACTGGAGGCCTTGGACAATTGACTTATTTGGAGCACAATTTATTAGCTGCCTTAAAAGAAAAGTTCTTTTGCATTGTGTTAGTTTTTTACATATGGTAAGTTTATTTTAATATTCTTTTCAGAATCAAAGTTCTGTCATGGTTTTTTTTTTTTATGAAGTTTCGTTATTTATATATTTTATGTAACCATATTTTATTTCTTAGATAAATTTGAAGGCAAAAATCAAAAATCTTGTGCTTTAATATCCTGTAGTATTTTCTACTGTTTTTTCAAAATCTTGCTGCCTTAAAAGTCTGAGCATATTTCAAGTTAAGTATGTATATACATAGAACTGAAGTCAAGAATCATCCTTTTAAAAATGTAATGGTTGTACATTTTGCTGCCGTATGCCAAATTAAACTACAAATTTCTTGTCACTAATTATAGATGCTATATACAAAATCCTTTTGTCACTCTCTCATACCACTGTGTGCAGAAATGCGTGCAGTTGTCAATTCTGTGACTGGGCAGTTATCACAATCACTGTAAGGTTTTCCAACCCTCTCTGTCAGTTTTCAATCATCTGTGATGACCAGCTCTAAGCCTGACTAGTTGTAAGTCGACCTTCATTGATCTTATGGAAATGGTGCTTTATTGGAATTCAATATCCCTTCAATCTGTGTTCAGCGATGGCATTTGTGTCCAAGAGGATGATATTTGCATTATTATTACTGTTGAGATTTCAAACCTCTTCTGCCAGTTTATATGCATTCTCATTATCTGTGATGTTGACATGCACTGGCGACCATTGAAGAATGCAGACCGCATCTAACTTTTGAAGATCATTTAGGGTAAAGTGGATCCCATTGGTGATCAAGGAGCTTCTATTCAGGATTACCTCTGAGTTACAGAAGACAATGAGTCCTTTTACTTGCCTAAAAATGGGAAGGGATCTATACATGTCAAGTGCCTCTGCTATTGGCAGAAGCTTGCATATGAAGTAAGAGACTATGGCTCCAGCATGCTTGTTTGATAATTTTGTGTTGATTAATAGTATTACCTGAAGTAATCAAAAATACTCCAGCACCTCCATTAGTGATTGTCTTATCAGAATGAACCATCTGTACAAATGTATACAAAGTCCTCTTTTCGGATCATGATCATTCCACTTTAATAATGTCAGTCAATTCCTTTATACTGCATGGCAGTGGTAGGTTAAGTACTATTTCTGAGTGCATATGAAGCTTGGAAGGAAATGTTGGCTCTTGAAAGACAGAAAATTTGTTGTTATCAAGGCTAAGAACTACTCTAATATCCTTCTTAACATGTTGACGACGGTGCATATATTCATTGTTCTTTTCATGTGGCCACACTTGAATTAGCGGTCCATTTTGTGGTCCGTCCGTTTTGTGAATTTCCCTAGTGAAGTACTAATAACAAAATAGAAAAAACATTTTTTTAAAATTCGTACGAAGGATGCACAAGGAAGATGTGAAAGCGATTTTTTAATGCTATAAATGCCACACTCAGTACGCCACGAATAATGAAAGTAACAACATAGTGCTATAATTGTAAGGGCAAGCCGGCACTTTGTTTAGCCTGCTTTAATAAATTGCGCAGAAAAAATTAATAATTATATTTAATTATATTTAAATTTTAAGTTACATTTTAAGCTATTTGTTTTGTATTGAATGTTTGATTATAATCTTGAAATATTAATATATATACTGTTGAATAAATAAAATAAAATAAAATTTTGTACTACGTATTTTTTTATGTATAAAAATAATGACTGGTCCACGGTCCATGCTTGACTGGTCCACGGAACAATGAAGCATGACCCACCAGTGGGTCATACCACCCCAAGAAACAGACAAGTATGACCCACCAGTGGGTCACGCTAGTGTCAACGAGTTAAATTGCATAGGCGATGACTTTTTACAGCTTAGTGCTGCTATTGTAGTTTTGAAAAGTCTCTAGTGATGTATTCTGGTACACAGCTCTTGCCTGGTTTGTAAATATTATGATATTATACTGTTTTTTTTTTCCCAAAGCTTTTGAGGCCACATTCCTGAATTACTTTTATATTATTGGTTGAAGACACTGCATTGGTAATAATTTTTGCAGCCTTTGCCTGGACACTTTCTTATTTTCCCAAGACAGTCCTGAAAGCATGAGCCCAAAATGGTAGAAGCATACTCCATGATCGATCTCATAGGTGAGGTGTATGTTGTTCTAATTGTCTTGGGAAAAGCTTTCTACATTGTTCTGCAAAGACTTTTAATGATTCTTAATCTTTTCAAAGCTCTGTCAGCACAGGTTTCAACATGCTCAGTGAATCTCAGTTCTGCATTTAGAGTGCTTCCCAAGTATTTGGGCATGATGTCTTTATTATGCATTTGCCTTCAATGTATAGTTTTGGATTCATCAGATCTCTGTGCTTCCTTGAAAAGGCACAGACAACAGCCTTTTCAGCATTGATCTTGAGTTTTAAACTCTGTGTCCACCTTACGATCCCATTTAGGGATTTCCAAAGCACTGTTTCAGATTCATGAATTCCCTGCTGGGGTGCCAGATCGCAATGTCATCTGTGTGGCAAGCCATTTTAGTATTTTTGTATAGGTATAGCATGTAATTTTCTGGATAATTGTCATATTGTGTCCTTTTGCTCCTAAGCTATAGATATGATTTATAATCAATTAGAAGCATGAGCTGATAAATCACTCTTTTGGTTCTTCTGACAGTTATATTTGATGTGCTGATTCCATGTGAGTTGTGACTTAATATACCCCCAAATACTTAACGCTACTTACTCTTAGTAAAGAAATAAAGTTTTTCTCGAGTTTGTGATTAATTTTATGCATTTTCACAGCCAAAAGTTGTGACCCAAGTTTTGACATGAAATGACCCGAGGCATGTCACTTATGACACCATTCTTCAACTTTGTGGATCTAGGCCTGCAGTTTTCTAATTGCAAAATTTGGCATACTTGATCTAACTTTAAAAGTCAGTAGCAGGCAAAGAGCCTATTATAGTCATTTCCTAGTTTAAGAAAGTTTGCTATATAAATTGAGTACTATGCCTAGACAGGAATCTTTCAGAATTCTGGAACAGTAATTCCAAACTTAAGTTGTAAATTTTCTTGCAGCAAAAGTGCATTTTTCAATGATAGACTTTATCATAGTTTCTCTATTGAAATTCAGAGGTAATAATATATAAAGCATATATGTATTGGAATGCTTTTACCATGTTTAGTATAAGGAGCACAATGCATCTCTTGTTGCAAATTGCCACACCTAAGAATTTGACAATTCTCACTAATGTTCTTGTCATATTCAGTCTATTCTAAAACCAATTTATTCATCTGGCAATAAATCCAAGATATGGGCTGAGTCATTGCAGAATCAGTATTTGCAATAATTTCTCTAAGTCTGGGGGTGTAGGTTAATCAAGAGAAACCATGTAGCTTTGCGTAGCACTTTCTGGACTTTAGAAGCAAGAAAATATTCACCCTCTGTATAATTGTGTGAAACAGACATTATTGATTTACATACAGACATTTAACATCTTGGGCGGAAAACATTCAAAGTGCTTTAAAGTAACAGCTATGCCGGCACCGTGAAGAACACTTTCCTTTAAAAGACAGAATCCATCTAGCCCTTTTGGCATTCATCTCCATTCGCTGGATTCAGACTTCCGCTCCTACGTGTTTTGGACTTACGGCTAGACTGGAACTGGACGGGAACCGGAACAGGACTGGATCCGGAACAAGACGGGAACCGGAACAGGACTGGATCCGCAACAAGACGGGAACCGGTATCTCTCAACCCCTGGCTTCTTCCCCGGGCAGGTCAACTCTGGCTCGAACTAAAATGAACTGCGGTGCCACTAAGGAAAGCACCTCCTTTTATTGCCGGCGGTTGCCGTTACAACAGGCGATTATGCAAATATTTAACACATGTGCTTACCATTAAAATTGACATTCTTTCTCAAGCTGAGTTTTAACCCTCCAAATGGCCAAAACAAATATGCATGTCCAAAAATATTTGTCATGATACCTCTAAATACACAGACATGCTTCTTGAAATATGCCCAGGCTATTAAGGTACTATATACATTGAAAGAAAGGGAGTTGAGGAAAAAAAATTGAATAAGTTATGTATCATTACCGAGAAAATACCTCTTACTCACAGTGCCTGTATCAGAATTTTCACTATCCAGTGCAATCACCGTGATTCCTAAATTCTGTCACCCATGTGACTCTGTGAATTTTAAAAAATTTGCCGCCTGGTGCAGCTGCACCTGTTGCACACGGTGTGATGTCAGCCTTGCTTGGTCATAGTCTTTTTAGAAACTCAGGGTTTTGAATCAAATTCTTAGCCGCTTGTAAAGTTACTGCTATTCAAAAGTAAAGATTCAGTTTTATATGTTGGCAACAGTAGATATAATTTTTATTTAAGAAGGAAAACCAAATATTTTTATAATTTTTTGTGTATTTTATTTAGACTCTTCTCTTTGTAATGTTTTATTGTAATACAAAGTTTCTTTTTTTCCTTTTAGTCCTTATTTTTCCTCATTCAACATTTATGCTGATGAATAAATTTCTTTATTTTTCAAAATATTAATGAAAGACTTTTAATTGATAATATCTTATTCATATTATGATTTATATCTCAAATAATTACAACTTATCCGTCCTTCCGTTTCCGTACAGAAATAGCGGACGGTAAACAAATAAATTATATATATCATAATATATTATAAATTACAGGGCAGGATGTGGTTTTCAATCTCAAGCCTGTAAATTAAAAATAATGAACACTTTTATTCAGTTGGTTAAAAAAATTGAGAGAAAATGAGCTAATAAAATATTTTTTATAAATATTACAGAACAGTTCAATGTATTTTATTATAGTTTTTCCGTAAGTCCTTTGTTGTTATAAATTATTATCTATAATGCATAAAGATCACAGAATTACAAATAACAATGTTTTATTTTATTTCCATTGCTGTTTCTCCTTTTACAAAAATATAGGATAAAATTTGTCATGATTTTGCAGTAATTTATTTAAACAAAGCTAAAATACAATTATTTGGCTTAGAACTTAAGGTTCTCAATAAAGCAAAACTATCTGCAGGTAAATTAGGTTTGTGTATAGTTGAAACCCAATATTTTCTAACATTTACTTTGAAGGGCTTATTGAGGCAGACATCTAGGGGTTGAATGACGGATGTCAATCCTCCCGGAATTACGGCCACAGTCGTTTTATGTGTTTTGACTTGCAGGGACTGTTAACAAAAGTATTTCATGAAGAACAATAACTATTATAAAGGACTTATACGTGCGTTAAAAACTATCTGCATTTCTTTTCTTGGAGTGTTGGCGAAATTTTTTTATTGCTCGATATTGATCGGTTGTTAGGGTGCCGAAATTCTTGGTTTAATCAAAACTTACTCTAGTTAAGTATGCTCTGTGATTAGTTCGTCACTAATTTAGTCATGATCCTTCAAGTAGGTGACTTATGATAAGTCGTCCAATTGAGTGCGGAGGAAAACAACTGCATTATATAAAGAAATTTTGGAACTTCCAATTCTTTAATTTTTTATGGCCCGCGTATAAGTCGCTCCTCCACTTTGAAGTCTTTTTTTTTTTTTTTTTTTGTCCAAAATATCTCGACTTATACGGGGATATACAAGGATATTTACCAGTTGTACATTATGAAACTTGGGATGTCGTTTTATACAGACATATGTGTAAAATACAGCGAAGTCGTAATCCGAATGATCTATAATCTGACTCAAACGGAATTTATTGGCTCAAAGTAAACTTGCGCATAATACCGTACGACGGATATACTTACGCAGCGCGTTTAATGTATAACGGATGGTATAAGCTAAGCTAAAATTATCTAATTATCTATTTCAGTTAATGTTGCAGATTGCATTATTCCTTAATCTTCGAATTGGATTCAGCTTATTATTTTTTGTAGACTATTAGAGCAATTTTATAAAAGTAAGCTTGAACTTTCGATTATGTCAAATAGAACTTCCGATGCTGGATACTGCCAAAGGATCTACAAAGTGAAAGCATGTTTCGATGTCCATCAAACAAAAAGTGGAATTGCTGCAAAAAATGGATAAATGCATATCCTTTGTTTCTCTAACCATTCCAAAATCTGCTTATCAATTTCACACTGCTCTGCGGGGGAGGGGAACGTCGCGGTGCGCAATGAACTGGAAGTTGATTTGTCAGCACTATTCTTATCTTCAGGGCAGATGTTTTTATTTTATTCGGCTTATAGTTCATTACTAAATGTAGTATTTCATCTCGATGTACTCTGTCTTTGATATGATTTAAAAAAATTCCTCTTCATTATAAATATCACGAACACACATCAAATAGTTTTCTGGTTGCAATTTTCTAATTTCGACTATGCGTAATGTATGCTTTACGCATGCGTGCATTGAAAGAAATGTTTAATAAAGTAAACAAATAAATATTAACCTTTTTTTTTGTAAATTTTGATACCCTTTAGATCATAATTTTCATAAATTAGATCATAAATTTTCTTATTTTCTTAAATTACGGTTTCAAATTTTTAATTTTAGAATTTCTGCACGTCATCTTACCAGATTTAAACTGATGATCTATAATCCGGAAAAACCGATAATCCGGAATCGTCGAAGTCCCGACGAGTCCGGATTAAAGACTTTTAACTGTACTATAATTAAAGAAATGCAAATAAATTCGTTTGTTTACATTCCCTAAAGCGCATTATTATACTCTTCTTTTATCGCCTTATTTAAGAGGTTCTTAGTCAAATATTTATAGGGAAACAAAATTTGAAATGATGGAACTGATATATGTGTAATTGATAAAATTTTAAATGTCATTACAATCGTCATTTCCTCCTTTCCCTAGCTGGCTTCCAAATATAGTGAATGGAATTTTGCTGTGGGGCATCTGGGAAAATTTGCCACGAAATATTTTAGTTGGTGTGTGGTATGTGATGGTGAGTATTATTAAACTTATTTTCACACAGTTTTGTTTAGGTTGATATCTTTGTTTGTTTGTGTTTTAATCAGATCTTAAAATCAGTTTTTGTTATACATCTCTGTTTCTTTTTAAAATTTAATATAATTCTTTTATTTATTTAAGAGTGAATGTATTTTTAAAGTGTTATTAAACTATTTTTAAAATGTTATTTGATATTTCTGCATTAATTTACTTTTTTGGGGGGGGGCTGTTTTTCCAAAAATCAATCTGTGGGGTACCAGCAATGATCAATTCTTCACTCAAAATTTCCAAACAGAAATTCAGCTAAATTGAATGAACTCTAAAACTATAGGTAATTTACACGATATTGAAAGAAAGATGACATCACTGACTTCATTGCTATGCTAAGTGAAAGGCTTAATTTTTCTGAATTCGGAGATGGTGATTTTCTTTCTTTAGTCTTTTTCCCTTTTTTGTGAAAAACAAAATTATACACACACATATATATACATATATGTATGTATATGAACTTTTAAGTTTTAATTAAAAGCCCTGAAAAATAAATGATTCTTTTTTTATTTTAGCTTCATTCAGCTTTTTTAGCTTAGAGCATTCTTGATCATATATCATGTGACCTAAAAAGTTTGTAGAAGAAATGTTTTGGGGTTATTAAGAGCATTTACAAGAATAGACGTAACTGCACAGATATGATGTATATAAGAATGATTACATTCAAATCATACAAATTTCTGTTTGAGATTTGTACATAAAATCCATCATTATTGTCAGCTCTACACTTTTATTACATATGCTTTATGTGATATCCAAGAAAATAAAATTTTTTAAATTTTTAATGCAAACTTTAAAAAAGTTTTTGTTAAAATTAATTTTAGTTTCTATTTTAAACTGTAAATTTTTTTGTTGTGATTAATATCCCACAGCAACTTGCCAAGCATATTTACACTAAAAATCTTTTTATGATTAAATAATAATAGCAAAATTTCCCTTTCAATTCGAATTAAAATGTGTTTAAGAAACACGGCCACATTATTGCACATGAATGCAATTCATACGCATCAGTATGATTATTAGAAATTTTCTAAATTGTACAACAAAATGTGAAATAGAAATAAAAACAAAATATTATTGTTCTCTGAAATGAAAAAATATAAAACTGCAATCTATTATTTTAGATACTTCTTTGCATTTTGAAAGTTATTCAGAATTCTTCTAAGTCCTTCAAACAATAATAGTAATAAGAATTTATATTCATTTTCATAGCTTGCAGACTTTAGACATACACTCTACGCATGTACTAAAACTGCTATTCTTACATAAATGCTAAAGAATAATGCATATCTGTACTTTTAGATTTTACATATCTTGATATAAAACAAAAATCTAATATTTGGAGTTTTTTATTGTAGTAATGTTTAATCATGTTTAGTATTTCTTTATCATGAATTTTAATTGAATTTATATTTGCAGTATATTAATGGATTAAAATATTATTTAATGCATACAGATAATCAAATAAAATTAAATCCGTCTTTTCCAGTTTATCAAAGTTGAATTTCTGAATGGTTTCTTTAAAGAGAAAATATCTTACATATCAAATTTATATCTAAAAAGGGAATTTAAAAAGTTATATATTTTCAGTTGTTAAAATAAAATCTCTTAAAATCATTAGTTAACAAACTGAACAACCCGGATTGTTTGTAGTTAATGTTTTTCTATCATGTATTGACAATCTTTTAAAAAACAACAAATAATTATAATCCATTTTTGGATTTATTTTTTTAATCAGGCATTTCAATCCATTTTGGTTTTTCTTTTTTAATCAGGCTGGGGGATGTATTGTAGTAGGGACATCTAAAAGTTTCCAATGTCACCTATAAAAGGTTTTTTGGGAATAAATTCCTCTTTGTGCAAACATGTGATTGAGTGAACCACAGTACAACTGCAGACTGGAACAGTTACATGCGTTAAGTGTGTGACACAGCTTTAATTGCTCGGACTAAGTTGAAAATCAGCGGGCTTAATCCTAGTATACAGTACACATGGGATTTGAAAACATTATGCTGAGCAGTAAGCGAGATGCATCAACGGATGTGGCAAAATTATTGAAGCAGATGGAAACTTTTTCATTAGAAGAAAGAATAATGTTGGACATATTCTTCCGCCACAATGGGTTTTCAGCGAATTGTGCACACAATCAACTGAATGTTTCTTAGTCATTGTTCCAAATCAAACAGTGATAACTTTATTGGATGTTATAAATGAAAATATCACAGAAGGTAGCATTATGTGGACTGACTGCTAGAAATCAGTCAGATGAACTGTGAGATGTCGAGTTTGAACATTTTACTGTCACCCGCAACTACAATTTGGTGTACGTGTACTCAAAGTGTGTGTCATTCACAAACAATAGAGCGGCTGTCGGTTAATATTAAATGGTGTATTAAAGCCATCGGGGTACTGCTCGACAGCCGATTCTTATATGTCTGATTTTATGTATGGGCATTTGCACAAAAAAAACTAAAATTTTGTCTGCAATATTAGAAGACATAAAAAACTTTATGCCTCCCACTTAGTTTCACTTAATGTTTAGCCGCTTTTATATATATATAAATTAAAATAATAAAAAATGTATTATATGAAATAAGCTTTCATCAAATTAAATTAATCTCAGGTAATTGGTACGATCCTAGTATACGGTATGGCCATGGCGACAGTTTTCAAAATCGTGCTAAAGCCGATTTTGAAAATTGCATATTTCTGTATGCACATTTCTTAAATGCACATCTTTATCGCCACTTGAGAGAGTGTCTCTTAGAATGGACTAATGGTCTTCCAGTAATATTCTGTAATTTCACTTGACCTTTTCCGCACTTTGATGGTTAAAAATGCTTTGCCATGCATTTTTCTGTATAAAATAATTAAAACATCTTGGATTTCTTGTGGAAATGTTCAGTATGAAGTTAGATCAAATATAAGTATAATTATATATGTAAATAGTATAAGCCTTAGCAATTTTTATTGTGGTCTATATGAAAAAGATGTTCTATAATAGTAGACAATGCACAGTTTTGTTCAAAATGAACTTTCCTTATTTGCATTTCTACATATTTAGTGTCTTAAATTTCACATGATGTTCTATAATAATAGACAATGCACAGTTTTGTTCAAAGTGAACTTTCCTTATTTGCATTCCTACATATTTAGTGTCTTAAATTTCACATTAATAACTGTTCATTCTTAAATATATTGCCTGCACAAGATACACTCTTCAAACAGAATGAATTTTTCTTATTCACAATGAATATATTTAATTTATTCATATGTAACTTTTAAATAACATATAGCATATTTAAGTAACATATAACATTTTAAGTAACATATTTTATTCATATGTAACTAGCTAACTCACAATACATATAATCAGATCATTAAAAATATATATTTTGAATCTTAAAATTAAAGGAATGTAAACATTGAAATAAGAAAATACTACATTCATTTAACACTTCCAGTGATTCTCAGCTCAATAAAAAATTATACTCTTGAACTCTCTTGATCCGCTGGTGTTAGTAAATGCATATTATTTGAGGCTAATTGTAGGAATCATTTTCTCAATATAAAGAGTGATAATATACCATGAGCAATCCAAAAGTGATAATATACCATGAGCAATCCAAATATCAGTGCGTGATAAGTTTCGCGAAAGTGAAATATTGACAACCAAGTAAACTTATAAAATGAAAGCATTACAAGATTTTCTACTAAAAATTATAGCAGCATTTTTATGCTACACATGTATAACTGCAAAACAAGTGCAAAATAAAATGTAAACAACAACATGCATTCATATGGAGAATTTCAAAAATTCATCATAACAGCAATAAAAGCTCATTGGTCCATTTTGTGAAACCTTTCTTTCAGTGGCGATACTGATGTGCACTTGTGAATTATGCATACCGTATACTAGGATTTTACCTTGAAACTCTTCATATGTGTTATTATGAAAAAAGTATCAAATATGCATGGTTAAAACATACAAAAAAGAATTCTTAAAAAAAAAAAAAAAAAAAAAAACATATTGCTGGTGGTCCGGATAATTAGTTGATTTTGTACTTGGTACTGTATATGTTGGTCTGCTACTGCATCACCCCCAATTGAATGAGGTAAATGTGTTTTAACTTCTTATTGGCTTACAAGTATTGAGTATTATTATTGCTGTTTCAAGTCAATAAAAATATCAGACACATTATAAGGTTTTACTTGATCTGAAACTAATAACCTCATCAGACACAAAGCAAATTATCACTAGATCTGAAGTAACTATGAGCCATAATGAGGTTTTAATAACTTTTTCAATAAACAGAAACAATAATTCTTCCCGAGTGGCAAAATGAACATGTGGGCAATGATATAACACAAAGCCAAATAATTACAACTATGAAAGCTGGAAGGAACTAAACATAGTGTGCATGCACAGCCAAAAACACACTGTCCCTTAAAATCAAACCTCACTTTAAATACTAGCTAACTCATTTACATTCTGGTGAGAAAAATGGAAAAGAGAAGTTATATTAAAGATCCCAGTCATAAGAACTTGGCTAATTTAAATTGTAATAACCATACAGCTTTCATCTAAATTAATTAAATAGATTCTCAAATTATATATACAGTGGAAACTAAACTATCCATCATTTTTTTAACTTTTAAATTTCTCTTAGTTATCAGCCAGAAAGAGAATCTAATGAATCCATCAAAAATAAATCAAATGTATGACATAAAAAGGGGGAAATGTAATTTAAAAGAGACAATTATTGTATATTATAATGTGATTATTTTATCACCATATTTGTAATAATAGGATAGAATAATGGTTTGAATATTACAATTATGCTATCAATTAGAAATGCAAACAAAACATTGCTTGTTAAAAATTACTAAGTAAATGCAGTAGTAATGTCAGGTAGCATTTTCTTTATGGGTAATTTATTTGGCTTATAAAATAAAACTTCATGTAGTAGTAAACAGATAATTCTCTCTTGTATCTACATGCTATTATTTCACATAGTTTTTGAAATAACAAACTATGTCTAGTTACATAGAATGGCGTCCTGAAATTTTTATGCATGGCTTGCAGCTAATGTGCTAGGTAAAGTATGTAATACCACATTTTAAATTAAGTTGAAAATTAAACCGCTATAGAAAAATAAAATACATTCTGTATTTATCGTGTTGTGGCTAGAAACTGTTTGGATTTATTTAAATACTATGCTTTTACTGTACGTAATAAGTAAACAGCTGTGTGAACTATACTGTAACCAATTTCCAATGATAATCATGAATTTTATCTATACTATCTCAGGTACTTTGCTAAAAATATTTTGTGTGTGTTTCAGTGGTGCTAGTAGTAGAAGAAGTTTCTATTATCTGTTTGTCTCTTATCTGTCACTATTATTCTCCTGAAATTGATGAATAATCAGACTTCCTTTGTATTTATTCTACTTGTTTTACCTTTTTGTATTATTTAAATTAAAAAAATTAAGAACATATAAACAAATTAATAACAGGCTTAATTTTAAATGGCCTCAAAACTAAAACAAATGATTTGAATGCTTGAAGTTTAAGTAGCGTTTAAAAATGTTAAACATAATGTACTACTACAATTGATCATAATGAATCTGTTTTAAACTTTATTATTAAGTTTATGATTTTCATGAAATGAAATCATTTTTATTATCTCTTTTCTTAGGCTATTATGAATCCACTTCAAGCTGTTTTCAATTCACTTGTCTACAAAGGCTGGAAAGGTTGCTCATTTTCATGCGTTGAGTTGAAAGCCTATTTCTGTTGCTGCCGAGAGCGACCTCATTCTGGACTTTTAATTGAAAGATCCTCATCAGATCAACAATTAACGGCAGAGAGACCAACATTTTCAACTAATAATTTTCAAGATTGACTGAAATATTTAAGTGCCTAAAATACTCTGGTTGTTATGATGTTTTGTAAATATAGTGAAACCTTTCTAAGGCGAACCCCCACTGTTACAATTTTTTTTTTTTTTTTTATGTTTTCATAAAAAAATATAGATTTGACTGGTTACCTCTCTGTATATATTTGATGATGTCATTCAGTAGTCATGTTAGAAAATAATTTTATAATTACCAATACTAGTGTTTATTAATAGTCTGAAATACATCTATCCTTTTTGGGGTTCATGGTTTAGAGAGGTTTCACTGTGTAATTTCTTAATATTTATAACAAGTGTTTAAATTTGGAATCTCATGATTATTTAACATATTTTTATAATATGTTTAGTGCACAATTATTTAAAAATATAACATAATTTTTTCAGACAAGCTTTACTATGAAGCAGGCTAGAATATTAGCTAACTTTTTAAAACAATTTTCTTAGCATTTGTCAAGCAAAATTTTATACATTAATTACCAGCTATGCACAAAACTTGCTTTTAATGCATTTTTCCTAGCATTTTTAAATGCATTTCATAATATCTATTGGGAAGTACACCAATGTAAAATTATGAAAAAAAATCTTAGATTGATGCTTTGCTTTTATGATGACTTTGAGTATCATCTTCTAATTAGAATCTCTTATTTTTTTTTTCACATTGAATTCACAAAATGTGAAAGTCTTTCATTTTGGGAGATTTGGGATTTTTCATTACACCATCATGTATGTAAATTGCTTTTAAATTTTTGTTTTTTCGTGAAATTGTTATTCAATAATGTAAAATTTCATTTCTCCAGATTGAGATAGTGTGAAGTTTATCTTCTACTGAGGATATATGCTTTGGTTTTTGTCAGCAGTTGCCAGCATTTAGACATCATTAGTAACTGTAGTTTGCTACTGTAAAATAGGCACTTCAGATTATTTTTTTCACCTGACTTGCCTCATAATTATAGTAGTGGCAGCTTTGGCAGATTCCCTAACTGTTTCTTTTCCATTAAATGTGTTTCTGTGTAAATTGGGAAGAATAAAAAAGATCTTGCTGTGCTTATTTCAAAGTAACAGATTATTAGTCCAAAGGGGCAATTTGCCCTGAAGGCCTATTAATTTCATTTTGGCATTTTGTGCTGGAACACAATAAATGTTGATACAATTTTCAAATTATTGCCACCAAATATTATCGACTTGTGTTATATTTAAAATAATTTAATAATGAAGAATCTGTATAAACATATGTATGTTTCTCGCATTGGGATAAAACAACAGTACCTAGAACCATCAAATTTTGAATAACGAAATCTTCTACCAAATACAGGCATCTGGAAGCCCAGATTTGGAATTTAAAATTTGTTTATTAGTGATTTCATATCTGAAGCTGGCACAAATGTAACATAGTTGGCTCTGAATTTAAACTAGTTGGCAAATATCAACAGGTAAATAATATACAGTCGAGAATAACAACTTCTAGAGAGACTTAGACCGAAGGTAAACGCGTGCTACTCAGGATTCCTAGTTGTCTGTCTCGAAGTTGACTTAAACCTTCCTTAAATACTACTTCCAACTCATTTGTATTCATTGCAGTTCTAAAAACTCATTCTGGTAGGAAGTTGTAAGTTGAAACAAGAATTGTAGGAAAGTACATCGAAATTAAAATAACTGTTATAAAATTAAAATATACCTTACAAAGTATAAAATAAAAATTTTTTGCAATATTATTAAAAAAATGCAAATAAATTCTCTCTTTATGTTTTATTAAACAATGCACTTTTGTAATATTGAAGATAAATAGAAGATTATTAATTTGCAGCAATACCTATTGAGAATGGATAGATATTGCAAACTGAAAACATTTATAGAGCTGTTAAAAATTTCATAATATATCATAAGTAAATTTAAATTTCTAATTTTAATAATTCTGTTTGAAATACTATTAACAACAATAGTAGTATACTGTCATATGTTTTTTCGTAGAATGGCAGAAATGGGCTTGAATTGTACTGTAAAATTTTTGTTATGATTTTTCAAATGTGTGACTTTTGCATATTTGCTCACTTTCGGGAAATCCTTTTTAACAAATTTCTTTGACATAAACTGTCAATGAATATATATATTTGAAATCCATCTTTTAAAGAAAGTTCTTGGATTCCACTGTTTTCACTGAAATGTTTTGCACTGAGATATATTAGAAAATATATATTCACTTCTAATTAATAAAACATTGAAAAAGTTAATATAAAACAAAACTGTCTCTAAAAATATACATATTGTGAGAAAAATGCTTTTTTATACTACTGTTTTGATAAAGCTGACTTTCGTTAATCGGGATTTTACTCTAGCAAACTAGAATATGTTGTTTTACATGTTTATCATAAATGTGACGTTATAAATGTTATGTTCTTTTACATCTTTAACATAAATGTGATGTGCATATGCATTTTCACAGTTTCAGTTTTTCAACCAAGTGCATGAGAATTCAGTTTCATTTTTACTTTATTGCATGTACTATGCCCTAAAATGATAAGAGATATTGCAAAACTGAATTTCATTTTCAGTAAAATTTCTAATAGAGTAATTATGAAATCAGGATAAATTTTATGAAGTTTTACGTGAAAATTTAATAATATTTCCGAGCACATAAAAACTAATAATTTTGTATTGAATGTTCGAGTGAAAAGAATTTAAGTTAAATTCCTGTATTGTGCGGGTTTAGTGTCTTTAACTAGACAGTTTTCACTTTGGAACAACACCATAAGAAGTATGATTGGTTTTCTTAAAATTTGTTTGTATATTTTCCTTTTCTAAGTTTAAATCTGAATTTCATTCACTATGAATATGGAAATTATTTTTTGTGCTTATTTAAAACTGAATTATTTATATACACTCATGTCCATAAATTAAGGATAATGCAAAATCAGGCAAAGGAAGAGTTAGAAGCAAAACAAATTTGACTTATTTGTAAAGCTTATTTATTAAACAAAAGGTAAAGAGCAAAAAAAAGATGCTATAGTTTGATATATTAAAAAAAATTAGCGATTTTTTCTCTGGAGCAAATTACAAAAAAAACCTATTTAAAAAACCAATATTACATGGTTGGTATGATGTTAATACATTGTATGTCTCCCAGACGATGCAAACAGTCCGTACAACGCTAGGCATCTGAGTATCAAATTATCGATCTGATCTTGGGGGATATTACACCACTCAAAAGCAATGCTCTCCGAAGTTCCGGTAGACATGTAGAAGGAGGTTGACGGGCTGCAACTCGTCGGCCAAGCATGTCCCACACGTGCTTCTACTGGATTCAAGTCGGTGAGAATGCTGGCCAGTCAATACGGGTGATATCCTCCGATGAAGGCCATTCGCTTACGATGTTTGCACGGTGAGACGGGCGTTGTCATCCATAAACACAAATTGTGTGCCCATGGCGCCCGAAACAAACGTACATGTTGTTCCAGAATGACGTCCCGATAGATTTGGCTTGTCATGGTCCAATTTGAACATGCAGGTCAGTTCTGGAACCCAGAATAATTCCACCCCAAAACGAGCACTCCTGCACCACCGTAACGGTGTCGTTCAATGATGTTTTCTTGGTGGTAACGGGTACCTGGAGCTCTCCATATGAAAGTCCGGCGAGAATCAGACTGCAAGCTAAACCTGGACTCGTCGGAAACACAACACACAGCCCACTGTTGTGGTGTCCACAATGCATGCTCTCTACTCCAGGCTAACCGCAGGCGACAGTGAGTTGCAGGAGGCAGTAAGTGGAACGCATCTGACAGGTCTACGAGCATATAGACCAATCTGCCTAAGCGTCTGTACACGGTCTGCCTTGAAATTGTCGTACCAGTGGCTGAAGAGAGCTGACGAGCAGGTCTGAGGCTGTGCTCCGCCTGTTTCTTTTGGCAGTACTGCCAAATACCGGTCCTATTCGCATTGTAACTCTCGTCGACCTGTGCTGTAACGTCTACTCACATTACCATCATCTTGGAATCGTTGCCCAAAAGCCTGGAGATGACACTCTGGGCAATTCCAAGTTCGTCTGATACTTCCAGTTGGGTACGCCCACATTCCAGACGGCCGATAATTCTACCACGTAAAAAATCATCCAAATGCGTCCTTTGTGTCATAACTATTCGGTTATTGCGCTGAAATGTTAAAGCGCCTGCGAACAATTTTACTTCTTTGCCTGTATTCCTTATATAACACTCACTTACACTCTCGTCATTGTGACGTAACATCGGTGTCATCTGGTTACTTCCTGAAATTTTCATATGATTCTTGAAGATGTGTGTAGTGATTTTACAGGCAATATATATATTTTAGAGTTCGATTTCCGCGTGACTCCGAATTATCCTTAATTTATGGACATGAGTGTATAAAAAATCAAGGATAAATTCACTAGTCATCATTCTGTGTTAAGTTTATTTCGGAAATTGTAAAAATACTCATCATCAGAAAACTAAATGTTGATTTATCTGACCAAATATCAAGATAATACAGGATTTGATTTGGCCAAATACCATATTCCTTGAACTAAAAGGTTATGATGAGAAGTTGAATTTAAATAATCATGTTTGCTGGAGTCATTCAGCTTGACTTTAGGAAAAGAGATTTTACAATATCTGGTTAGATGAGGCCTTATTCCATTTTTAATAATGGCAAATGCCTTTAGTTTTCAAAATGTGATGCATAATATATTTAATAACTTTTATGCTTAGAGAAAATGGACATTGCCTGAATTTTGGGTCAGATAATTTTGGGTCACTTTTGACCTAAAGATTAATGCAAAATGACTTGCAGTATATTAATTGTTTGTTATGTAATCTATTCAATTTTAAATTATTGTGAGCAACATAATGAAAACAATTATTCTTCCTCAGGCTACCTCAGATTGATAGATTATCAAAAAATGTTTCCAGTATCATTAATATTTTTCAAGTCTGATAATGAATGAAAAAATAATTTTAACTTGAGAAAAGAAATTGTGCAATCAAGTTTTAAGGAATTTTTAATTTCCTTCAGTTCTAATCCGCCAGTCAAAATTATCTGATAAATGAGAGTAAAATTACAAAATAAGAGCATTTTATTCAAATATTTCTATTATTTTAAAACAATATTTCCCTTAAAAAATATATGCAAAATTAGTAATTTTTCGTTGTAAAATTTAATCAAATGTTATTAAACTTTTATAGAAATTATTTAAAATGTTAAACTTTTATAGAAGTTATTTTGATTTTATGCTTGTTTTATAGTATTTTTTATTCTATATAAAACTCAGTTTTAAAATAAATCATTATTTGACCACATTATGTTTGATGTCATGTGTTTACTGAATAAGAATTCAGGTGTAAATTTGTTAGATTTTGTATAGTGTTGACTGTGTGTAAGTGGTATTTAGCGCTTAATGAAAACTATTATATTTTGTACAAAATGATTCTGATTATTTTTATATTAACCTAAATGAGATAAATTTAAATTTTTATGTTCTTGTGAAGTATGTAATTTTCTTTGCATTTCATTTTTAAATTCTCAGCAATGTAGTGTACTGTACTGTGATAAACGAATGTGTTTAGAACACTTTTAACTACATTCCAAGCTTTCTTTTGCATTTATTGCACCAGTATTTCACAATTTAAAAGGTTTAAAAATACCTCAATTTAAAAATCAATTCTAATTTTTTCCATGTAATGAAAAATGTATTTTCTACTCATATTAAGGTTGCATGTGTTATTTTTTACACTTTAGTTGAATGTTCTGAAGATTTATTTAAAAAAAATGCTTTTGTGATATTTTATTTTAATTAACCAAAGTTGTGCTGTGATAAATGATTCATTATATGGAAACCTATCTGTATGCCATATTGCGTAATACAGCTAGATGAATATTATTGTACATATGTACAGCACAGTACAATGCAGTATAATTTTTAAAAAAATAGATGTGGGACATTTTACCTTTAATTTAATATGTGGTCAGTGTTTTTTTTTTTTTTTTCCCCTAGAGACAATCTAATATTATCTTGCTCTGTTCTGAGCAAGTATTCTACCCACCTATTATAACTATATGAACTGTATTGCAGTCTAAAATTAATATTTTAATGTTTTAAAATGAACTATGTTATGTTTAAAAATTATATAATAATTATGACCTTAGGA